CCTTGTAATATCATCATTATATAGTAACAAAATGGCATGAAATTAAAAAAAAATCAACAATCAGCAAATCTAACGAATATTCATTCAAGTTACAACATAGTTTATTCAAAAAAGTCTGCTGGCGTGGTACGAAATATAATGACTTAATGAACTGCGTATTTCTTAGATAGTCTCAGTTTCCTGCCTGTTAGTTGTGAATAGGTCAATCTCCCGAGCAAGGGTATCTATCCTTGGTACCGAGTTGTCTAATGGCCTGTAAGTCCTGATAACCAGTCGTCGTTTGTCTCTTACTACTTGAACAACCGCTGGTGCAGAGACTTTAAGTTACTTCGTGATAATTCTAGAACGTTAACAGCGATACGAAGTTAAGGTTCTTTCTCTTAACATATCGTGTACGTAGACTATTATAAACTTCAAGAAAAGATCGAGAAAGTAGCGATTCTATCTTTCCAGCTATCAATAAACTGAAAGACTGAAGAATCACTTCTGCTTGAGCGAGATTTTTGTCTCTTTTACACAGAACTGATAATGTCTTTAACTAACTCAGTCTTTTCAGCATCCAGTTTTAGATTACCTAGCTCCAAGTCAAATAAAACGTCGTTCACTGCATTGCAGTTATCACTCCAACATACTGCACCTAGTGAGCTCCAACGGTTTTTGCTGTCTTGTTGTAGTCTGAGTTCCTTTCTGTGCTTCAACAAACAACAATAACTACGTCTGAGCATAAAACCTTCAAGTTCAATCCACCTACTTACTTAGTTGCGATAACGCAACCTTTAAATTTTCATTGCCACAAATTCATACACAATACACACTACACAGCACGTCAGCATACCATTACACTGTAAATTATGCTAGCACTGGGGTTTTACTCTACAAACAAAGAAACAAATTAGAAAATCTGTGCCATTTTCCCCTAATAAAAGGTGGTTGATTATCGCGATAATCCTCGAAAATTATCGCGATAATCGATAACGATTTTTGGAGAATTATCGCCGATAATTATCGGCCGATAATATCGGCTGGCAACCCTAATCTGAATCTTGTAATGTTGGCTAATTGGTTCACTGATTGGTTCGAAATATTCAAAACGACGAATTTTATACTTAAGTACTTTGATTAAGTACTTACACTCATAGACATGATAAGAATTATTTTAATCATGACTCACGTGTCGTAAAAAGTATTTTATCGAATTATGAGCTCAAAAAGCTTGTCATATTTATAGCTGCCTCTCTCCATATGAGTTGGCCACCAAATTGGCAGAAGCGATCTGCCAGTACTCGACCAAATACTGTACTGATTACACTATAATGTTATAGTATATTTGACCAAAACCCATAATCATGGGTAGAGTGGAACGCTGCCAGTGTCTCTCTTTCCCAAACAAAAGGAAATGATATGAATTTGAATGACCGTCCGCAAATGCAGAATGATACCGAGAATGAAATCGGTCGCTCTCGTTTCCCATTCATTTACAATTGTAATAGATTAAGAAGGACTACCCCCTAATTATTCGTATGCCGTGATAATGCCATATTTACTTGATTAGCAAATTTAACATTTACAATCGGGTGCTGTTGGGGGGGGGGGTTCACTACACTTTTTTACACTACAGTTTTGCCTTTTTTTGGTGTATGGTGAAGCAAAAAGTGTAGTAAAGAAGGTACACTAAATTGCACTTTTTTACACTTTTTTACAGTTTACACCTTACCAACTACATTTTTTTACACTACACTTGTGCCTTTTTTTATGTATGGAGTAAAAAAGTGTAATTTATTACTCCATATCAGGCCTCCATATCAAAACTTCATATTCCGGAACAAATTCTGTACATCTCCATGTCCTTTCCTTTCCATTTAGGGGGACAAATTGACGAGGAGCAGACTAGTTCGCAGACTTGCCCGGTCTTCTTGGGATACTGTTGGTTCTTATTGATATTCATTTAGGTTGTTTTTTATCCAAATCTCCATGTTCAGCAATGCCCAGTTACAATAAAGGAGATTTGCATTAAAGAATGTTGATGTGCTCAAAGAATGTTGATGCTGTAGTTAAACTCAATAGATGTATTACGATTATAGTTTTGAATTGTTGAGTAGCCCGATGTGTAGATATTAAGAATTTTATCGTTTCCTGGAATGTAGCAACTGGGTTGCTTCTGTAAAGAAGGGCCCGAAGTGGGACATGCAACCACCATTAATGTCAGTATTTTTTATTTTGCCAATACTGAAATTGTCATTAATGGTCATTAATGGTCATAAAATGCTCAAAAAACCATGACCATTAATGTCAGTATATTTATTTTTTCCAATACTGACATTGTCATTAATGGTCATTAATGGTCATTATTATTAATGGTCATTAATGGTCATTATTATTAATGGTCATTAATGGTCATTAATGGTCATTAATGGTCATTAATGGTAATTACTGGTCATTAATGGTCATTAATGGTCGTTTCATGTCCCCAGTAAAGAAGCAGCTCAAGGCCGCTGCAAAAAAACTAAATATTTCTCGTTCTAAATTGAGTTGCTGTGAAATATTGATTGAATTCGATCATTAAACACCAAATCGCCCCGACACCCCATCATATTTATAACTAAACGAGTCTGTGAAGTTACTAAACGGTTTCATTTAATGACGCAAAAAGCAGCCTGGGAGGTATACACTATACTGCACATGGCGGATTCTGCAAACATATAATTGAGGATGCTGTTTTTTAAAATTTCAAATAGCTAAGTAAATTGTAAATCGTCTACAAGTTTCAACCTAATTGTCGGCATCTGTGACACGGAAAATCTTCATTTCAAAAGTTCTGAATAAACCGTTTGTACTTCTACCCACGTTACTGATCTCCAAAAGAACTTCGACAATAATCATTCAGTTCTTTCAGCCGAAAGAGACCAAATTCGACTGGGAACAAATTTGTTGACTGATTTCGTAAGAATAGACGTACTTTTAATCAAAATGATGTCATTTGGGACCTTTCCACTCATTACTAATTACATGGAAGGTTGTCAACATCATTATCCCATCCTATATTATGGCATTGAGAACCTATGGATAAAAAATAATTTAATGAGGATATTCCGGCTTTTTTATGATTCAATCTTCAAAGAGACTCCCAACTCTGTCGATTAACATTTAATGTTCAAATTTCACTGATATGGGGAATTCTAGGGAAAGCCATAATCTCTGTGATCGCTTAATTATTTTCCTGTGCGAGCTCTAAACAGCCATCAATAGATTGAACAGACAAAAGTTTCCGATCTACGGAACCTGTGAATAAGGCCCACTTTATGAATCGTAACAATTCAACAATTAACGACCCGGATTTAAAAGGAATCGCTCACAGAAATCGTTTCCTGAATATTCCACGATTACCCTCAAAAAGTGCTACTAGTTAACTGTAATGCCAGGTAGCAGGAACAGCTAACAATTCATCGCAGAAGGAGTGGCGGAGTGTGACCATTGTTATCCAACTCAGTAATGGGGCCAATTCTACATCTCCCATAACACTAATTGAGCTGCAACAATCGCTTATCACACCGACACTCTTAGTGGTCTCGGCTTTTGTTTGAACTGGATGTCTCTGGTGTTAGGAGTTCTTAACAGCATTGTTTTTGTGGTGATGAACAACAGATTCAGACGTCATGGACTGTTGTTTTTGTTGCTTACATGAATGTCCTGACAACAATCAATTGATGTCTCAAACGATTGTTAACATGACTGACCGTTCAACTGAATTGACGAGCGGAGAGAGGGAGAGAACTTAACAAATCTATTTAAATCCATGATGTAACCCAGTATGGGACTTGAACAAACCAGTTAATTGGACAATTAAGGTCCTAAAATAACCTGGTGAAGAAGATTCTACTACAGAGATTTGACTACTGGAGAAACAGAGAATGAAGATAGTGATGCCGGGTAATTCAAGGGGTAGGGTAAATTGAAGTTGGAGAGAACGATGAGTCATGGTCCGGGGGGAGAGAGAGGTGAGATATTTGTGGCATCTGTGCAGACTGCCCCCTCTCCATCAGTTTTGCTCACACGTCTTCCTACGTCTCCACTCAGACTGACACATCCTCCAACATTCCCCGTATATATATCGCAACATATCGCATCACCTTAATTAGGGATATTTCGCATGGGCGGCATTGTCCAATGAGGCCAGTGCCAGATCGTCCCCAGAACCTGGAGTGAGGATAATTAGGTCAGGTGACCGGAGACGAAACTGGGGATTGGTGGAGCTTCTCGCACTTAAACTCCACTTATCATTTCGGTACAAGGTTTTGGAGTTAAGTATATAATGCTGAGTCGAGAGCTCTAGACCAATGGGGAGGTTAGGCTCGATACAGTGGCAAGTCATGTTGCTCTCTCGAATTTGGGCCCGTGCTTCAGGTGTGAAAAATTGAGAGAGACATTGGAAAATGAAATTATTAAAGCGATGTATTCACAGGAGCACGTGACCGTTGACTCGGTAAAAGTTTGAGTTCATCTAAAATACCCAAACCGATCCGTAATGATCATCATGACGGTTTGAATTGTTTGTTCTGGGCATTCAGAGCTCCACATCAATAACATTGTTTCTTGTTTGCCATTGAATTGCTGCTCATTGTATAGATCGTTTATGTCGTTTATATTGTCATTGAGCCCTTTTATAACAATGTACATTGTTCCATTGATTAAACTGGTCCACTTTACGGAGGACAATTGTTTGATAATTTTAGAGTACCCGGTTGAAGTCCCAGGGGATTTTCAGTACTCACTACTTATGATAATACCACCTGCCTGGTCACTTATTTCTCCTGAACAGAGGTTCAAGTTTAAATCTCGGAGCATGAGACATAATTAGAACGGCCGCAAACCTTGAAAAGTAGGACAATCAATATGCAAATAAAATGATCATCAAGTAGAAATTATTTTAGATAAAAATAAACATCCCGTGCTCAATCATATCCATTATCCCCAAACACACTCTCATACATTCTCTCAGTCCAACTAGCTCTACTAGAAAATATAATGGACCCACGACACGCGGAGGACCCGCTTCTCTCCTCTCGTCAGTACGCAATGCAGCACAGGCTCTTAGAACACCCCACCTCCTCAGCCTCCTTGCAAAGAGGAGACCAGGTGGCCCCCAGAACCCCTCATCCACAGGGTTCACAAAGACAGGTGATGGTGGGGGACAGGCTCATGATAATGAACGATGCGGGAGGGTTGGACGATCCCCATGGCTTGTGTGAGAGTATTATACCGGAACACATCCATATTAAGAGACCGATGAATGCGTTTATGTGTTGGGCACAGGTTCGTTGACATTTTATTTGTTTTTGTAGAGCCGGGCGAGGAAAATTCAAGTTTTCTAACATATCTGTTTCGCATTTTGTCTCTTGGGCGATCATCAGTAGTAGTAGTAGTCATAACAGGGTTGAATTCACAACCAAGTAGTAATTCATAACATAGTAGCATTCTAAGACATGTTTAGCGGTTGATTGGATGATTTTGTCTCTCCAGATAGCGAGAAGACGACTAGCAGATGAGAAACCTGAGTTGAGAAATACGGAACTTAGCAAGATATTGGGCCAGATGTGGAAGGTAATTGTTTAAAGTTAGATGATATAATTGAGTCTGAAGCAAAATTTTCTCTTGGGACTGTGTGTATCATAAAGACAAAATATGCTTTTCCTATCGTCATCGATTAATCTACAGCGTTTGATTCATAGTTCATACTCATAGCTTTTAAACGACCTTTTACCAGTCAACTATTGCAAAGTCCGTATGGGTAGTGAAACTTTCCAAAATACTCTAAATTCAGCCACTCATGTTTCAGTTTATCAGTTCTTATAGACTGTGTGGACCTTTAAATATTGTGAATATTAAATATTGTGGTTTGTAAGATATTGCATATCTCAGTCTCAGGCCTCAGCCAATATACAGGTTTTTCGACAACTTCGTTAACAAAGGTGGCCATTTAGCTTTACTTTGACATTATAAATCCATGGTTGGGGAGACATCATGTGCTATTTTCCAATTGCACAAAATAAAACTAGGACGCACGACGCAAGAATCGAACTTATTTTGCCGAAAAGCGAAGTGGTTTAGACGTAGGCACTAAAAAAATAAACGCCAATAATGGACGTATCTGCAGTAGTAAACTAATTAGTTAACTGATAACTCTGTCTGCTGCAAGCTTTCTCAAAACATAGTTATAAGGAATCAAAACCCTGTAGGATAAGTAAGAACTCAGAACTCTGGAGTAAGAACTCAAAACTCTGGAGTTAGAATGAGAAATTACACTAGTTATAATAGGCCACTAGTATAACTTTATAATAATTATAAATTTACGGTTAAGTTATTTTGTGAAAAGAAAGCTATAAGTTTTAATGTTTACGTTCATCTATTATGGTAGAGTCTGGTATACAGCCACTTCTCAACTCAAGGTTACTTAATTGGCACTTAATTGGGCGATATTTTTTTCGGCGGGAAAATAATCGAGGTTATCGTTAATTCGTAGCGCAATAGACACTTACCAGGTAAAATAGACACTAGACAGCCACAGATAAGCCGTAAGAGGTTGTGCCAACTAGTTCCTTAGTCCTATAAATTGTTAATCCATTAATACTCATAGACTAATCAACAAAACGTGATTACTTTGAACTATTGTTGAAGTTGGGAACCAGACACGAGGGCGAAGGGCTCGAGGGCGGTAGACAAATGAGCAGAGGACACGAGGGCTTAGTACATACGGGTGGTACTTACCTAAAAGGGTGGACACGAGGGCGGATCCCACGATACTCACTTTAACATGGACACGAGGGCCGAACCAAATACCGTCCTAAATGTTGATTGGCGAACTAGTAATAAACTTGTAACAGCACGCAATTTATTTAACTTTTGTTTTTAAATTAACATTGTGATTATAGGCTTAAAGGTATATAAAGGGTTTGATATATTTTTGCCGTTTAAGTCTGGCCAGTGCAGAAGTTATTAAATTATTGAATATATTTTAACGCTAAAAGATCTCAATCAAAAAATCTGATTCATACTTAGTCCCAAACAGATGAAGATTGTCGTTAATAGTCTAGTTGTAACATGTCTAGATTACTGTAATGGCTTAAATTTTGGAATAGGTGAGAAGCTACTACATCAGCCCCATTTACTACAAAATGCTGCGGACGAAACTGTAACTTGGGAAACTTTATCGATAAACTATTTTAGCCATAATTGGTGTAAAATCTTTAATTATTTGGTTTCCTATTATAAAATATAAATTAGTATTACCGATATCTTTTCAAGCATAAGTGTTCAACTCTAATATCTAATATACGAGTACATTTCTGGGATGTTTAGATTAAACACTGCTGAGTATAAGTTTTATCTTAAGTATAAGTTTTATCCTAATAGTGGTGTTATTATCATGTGATATGCCCTCGTGTCCACCTTTTAGGAAAGTACCGCCCCTGTGTCCTCCTCCCTCGTGTACTAACCCGTTATCGTAATATGTAAAAATAATGGAGAAGAAGATTGATCGGGTGGTGTCCGCCAACAAGTTAATCTTAAGGAGCTAGCGTTGTTAACTACATTTCGAGAAATTTGTTAATTAAATCTAAAGAAAGTTGTTATCTTCTTGTAAAGTAACTAAATTTCCATCCTCCAGGAACTGAACAAGGATCAGAAGAACCCCTATATAAAGAAAGCAGAGCAGTTAAGACTCCAACACAAATCCCAGTATCCCAACTACAAATACAGACCAAAAAGGAAGAGGCACTCCAAGTACGCTATAGTACCGTCCCCTGAGGTGAGATATCTTGGACAATTTTACTTATTTACTTACTTTAAATTACTTTATTTACTAAATTTTTGACAAATACTGAAGTAGTTTCCAATAATGCATTCCACTTCACTTTCAAAGAGAACTATCTTATCTGAATTATATAGTTCAGTCGAAATTTCCTATTCGGTTTATCGTAGTGCCAGGATATACACGGTGATGCAAAAATAATGTTGAGATCTTTTTATATGATAGCAATTTATATGAAGGAAAAAAATTTGAAATAGAATTGCAATTAATTCATAAACGTTATGAATTTCATTCTTGCTTCTCATTTTGATCCTATATTTCGTTTGATTTGGCAACTAAAAGCCTTGCCGAGGTTTTATACCCTCTCCGATCCCATCGTCTGTGAAGCATATCTCAGCAAATATTTTCGTCTCGTAGACAGAAATTACCCTGGTGAGTGCTATTACCTTTTAGCAAGTCGAGCCGAGTTGGTAAGTGGTATCTTTGAAGATCTACAGTTGTCTAATTGAATTTAGTGCTCACGACATAACCTACACGTCAAATTAAATGAATGGTTTATGCGGGAGTTAAAAGTACTCTGAAAATTGTTGGGTGAGATTGGAACAACTTAACCTGCAGACACCAATTAAATCTCGCAGGTTTTTGACACTTGCAGGTTTAAATCCTGGTTTGAGAATTAGAATCTGCCAGAAATTATCTGGTTATCTGATTTGTCTTTTTGTGAGGCTGGTAAGACCTGGATGGCATGCAAGAGGATAGCATAAATATTATTTACCTACGTCTGGGGTGTGGCAATCCTCTAAAGAGATGATGCCGAAGAAATGAAAGGGTATTGTGGCAAGTCGATCAGGGAAGAATTATGAAATTCCGGGAGCTGAGATGTTAAGACCAATTAAAAAGAGCCAAAGCAGAAAGAAATAGGTTTTATGTCACTCCGGTCTGATGCAGTGCTTATTAGGTTAAAATAAGACGCTTGGTGCAGATTGCAAACTGTAAAGTTGTCAGTTGACAATAGTAGTTTTATGTTGGTTGTCGAAGATGTCGTTGACAGAGAGGTAATAATCCTGAAAATATTGCCCTCTTATACTTGAGTTGAGCAATGCCAATAGCTGGAGACTAGCTTAGAAAATTCGAGAGTCTCTAGTAGTTTGCTTCTTGTTGAGCACAATGAGATAGCTTGAGAGACGAGGCTTTCAGTTCGGATGATGATTTGCTTGTTGGTATACATTCAGATGTATTTACAAGCTCCCCTTATTACTATGAGTTCTGTGTAACAGACATGGACAGTGCAATAGGCAGGAAGCATTGAAGATATATCGCATAGTGCAGCGTTATTGTTGTCAGTGGTGATGATAGAAGCTACCCCACTTCCTGAGTCTGTACGTGACCTATCTGAGTAGCCAGTGATCTAGTCTGCCTGTCCTTGATGTGAAACTTGGCACGACCTAAAATACAATAGATATTTCAAAACGATGGAATCATGCGTGATTCTGAGAGATGTCATTAAATGGCATTTGTAGCCTGAAGCAAAACAATTTCCCCGCTTATCTCGGTTAATTTATTGCAAGGGACTCTGGGTCATTAGATCGAGCCATTATGGAGACAGCAAGTTACAACTGCTGCTCACGTTATTCCGTTCCGGCATCCTACTGGACCGCGACCAATAGGGAACCAGCTTGATCCTGGTTAAAAAGGATAATTATCGTCCTGTCTAGAATTTCATCACTGAAATGTTGATTCAATTATAACTCTTCGGAGGTTGTCATACCTGGTATCCAGATCACTACATTTTTGTGATCATTGTTCACAGGACCGTTCATAGAGTGTAATGAGGTTGAATTTCTCTCATCATACTCACTTGCTCTCCATTTTCACCTAAAGACTGCAATTTATAGGAGACAGATCGATTAAATGCTTCAAGTTTGTTAATATCCATAAATTAACGTTACCCCACAACACTCCAAGAATTAAGATTGAAGTTAAATTGTAAAAGATTTTTCTGACAAACAGTTTAAATGTCAGAATCTTAACAAATTCGCCGCAGTTTAACTTTAAGATGGTACCGGGAATCTGATCATTCGATTTCAAAGTGGCGCCGCATTTCAAATTTTTTAGTGGTATTTTGTACTCAAAAGTAGATCCAAGAGTCATGAGTATTGCTGCAAAAGACAATGTTTAGATTTCCGATAGGTCACAATATTCTACAGCTAGGTCTATAGAGCTTGACCGGTTATTTTAAAACTCTTTTGGCTGATTTTTACTGAACATTACTTACAATCCGTACAAGAAACCCCTGAAAGAATTATATAATTGAACAATAAATGACGAAGTTACAGACCAAACAAGGTCGAAAAATTGAAATTTTTGCCTACTTCTAAAGTTGTACATTTTACCAATCACCCGGGTCAGCAGATAACGCTTTAAAAATTCTTGTGAGTGTAGCTGATGATCATATAAAACTTTTTGGAGTAGGATTTCTCTCAGATTTGAGATTTAAGCTATGAAATGTGGCCTCAAACGAGTTAGTAAAATTCATCGTAAAAAAGGGCCAAAAATGGCAGATTTAAGGCTTAAAATGTATCAGTTTTTTTGAAATAATTTTTACATAATCGTAATCAGCTTGATAAGACGAATCTTTTGACGAATCTTATTAATCCTGTTAACAATGATCGGTTATTAATCCTGTTAACAATGACCGGTTATTAATCCTGTTAACAATGATAACCTTAAGGCCAATAAATGTTTGTTATAAACATTTTGGTTACCATAATTTTAGTCACACATTTCGCAAATTTTTAGTCTACAACAATTTTAGTCCCTTCTTCGACTTTTCAAGACCATTTTCCATTCCATTTATTTGATTTTTCCTTTATTTAGCTAGTTTTTTCTCTTCCGATTTCGCACATCAAATCATATTTAAAAGTTTAACGTCAGGTATATTGATTAAATAATTTGTTGCAATAAAGAAGCTAAACAAATAATTTGTAAAATAAAATGTCATCTATCAATTCGGCAATGCAAATGAGCACCCGTCTGAGCATTACAGATTAAGCTGCATAAAAACAGTGGATTACACGTGTTATAGTGAAAGTAGTTCAGCAGTAGGAACGGTGATGTCATTATATTAATTATTAACAATGTAAGCTCAGTAATATTCATGTCATATTATATGCTCTACTGAAATTTTGGTCTGCTTTTAAATTAGTCGCCGAAAAATGTAGTCTCAATCAATTTGGTTTACAACAATTTTAGTCAAAATTTGTGACTACATTTATGGTCGACTAAATTTGTCGCTCTTAAGATAATTAAATTTAAGAGTTTATTGAGCTGTTTATTTTAGGTAACCATGTACTTACAACGTGTTCCTCCTCATTCTAATTATCAGCTTACTGAATAACTAAAAATAGGGAGCCGAGGCACAACTATTCTGTTTCTGGAAGACTCAACTTCGAATATTATTTCGGATTGAATTGATAATGGGGCAGCGTATTTCCCGCCAAACTAGTAATTCATCATTTTACCAAATCCAGACAACTATTTAGCTTTAAGTTCCAGCGGAAACTAATTACGATATTGTTCATAACTAATTTGATGAACCATGTTGGCTTGAGTTAAATATTGCGGATTCGGTGGAAACCACCGTTAAAATTAAATGGAAAGATGTGAGAATTATTATAATCTGGTTCAAGTTAAAGATTTTAAACTACGGTGAATGGAGAATGGTAATGATCCCTGACGGAACTCATCAACAATCAACATAAATCATAAAATGCAGAATCTGGCATCTTTAGAATTAATATGATCATATCTTTATAATTATCAAATACCAGTCACCAGCTAACAGAACTATATCCTCCAGGTACTAAGTCCACCTATAGGGAGTAGTCCCTCCAGATTGAGTCCTAAATCTGGAGATAACAAGTTGTCCCATCCGAGCTACTTGTGCAACATTGTTAAGGAGGAGAACCTCTCCGTCTCACTGCTCCACGCAGCCTCATCCTCTGAGGTAAGGCATTATCCTACATTATCCTACATTATCCTACATTATCCTACATTATCCTACATTATCCTACATTATCCTACATTATCCTACATTATCCTACATTATCCTACATTATCCTACATTATCATACATTTTCCTGTTTATACAACTTTACAAGTTGTAAACATTTTAAACAGGCTATTATAGCTTTAGAATAATTGTCTCATTTTTGATTGCGCAACTTCCCTCGCTGGTGGAGAGCTTTGTAACTTGTAAGTTTAAAAGCTTTAATAAAGTGGCTTTTATTTGTCACACCAGTGTTAAACCGTAGCAATTCAGTATTATATTCAGTCGAAAAGTAGAGGGATGAATATAATCGAACAATGGGACAAGTTAATGAGTTATTCTTGGGCTTCAGGATCTTGAACGTTTCTCAAGCAGTAAACTGGGGTGTTTAAAGATTGCAATTTTATCCATTAATGATTTCCCGCTAATGATTGACCCCTAATAATTGGGCAATGTGCGTCCCGCTTAGTCGGCCTCCCCTTTGAACAGATCAAAGATGTCTGCCTTTAGATAATCAGGAATTGTGTTTATTGAGGTCAGATATAGTTAAGTGCATTTTTAAACATTCCCAGTCACCATTAACAAGATAATATGGAATTGCGTTTATTGAGGTCAGATATAGTTGAGTGCATTTTGAAACATTCCCAGTCGCCATTAATACTTTTAAAACTATTATTAGCCCTAGCGTACTCGATTAAAGCACAGTTTTTGAGTAAAGGAGGGTCTAAAATCAGCGGAAGAAAAGGTTGCATAATCAAAAATGGCCGTTTTAACATTTTTGGGATGATGGCCGAAATAAAAAACCAGAAAAAATTATTATGAAATATTAACTGCTAACACTATGTTTGCCTTCATGATATTATCACCATCTCTTAAATATTCGAATGCTGAACTGTACACTTCAACGGTAAAAAGTGCAAAATGTATCATCATTACTTAGCACCAAGGTAAAAATCGGAATTTCCTTCACATGACATTAACAAAACCAGGGTCCAAGAGGGAAGGACAAGATCTCTTACAACACCCTCCACAACTACGGGAGACAGGCTATGTCGGACGTGCTGAAGGACGCAGCAGGATATTACCATGGTTACAGATATAACCCCTATTATAAGTGAGTCCTAATATTATACGGTTACTGGAGACTGGGGGACTGGGGGACTGGGGGACAGTCTCCACTGCCAAGTTTTCTGATGTAGCTGATCAGCAAAATGCGGCTGACCCCAGCCTTTCTCAAATTTTATCCCTTTCCCTCTTTCTCGCATTAATTTTATCTGGTAATAACTCTAGTATGTTATCAAATAAAACTACCATATTCACAGTTTTCACAGTTCGGACCGTTTTTTTTCAGTGATTTGGCCAGTTACACGCGAGAAATGGGGTACTATCAAGCTCTGCACCAGCAGCAACAGCAGCAACAACAACAGCAGCAGCAGCAGCAGCAGCAGCAGCAGCAACAGCAACAGCAACAGCAACAGCAACAGCAACAGCAACAGCAGCAGCAGCAGCAGCAGCAGCAACAGCAGCAGCAGCAGCCTCAGTCACAACAGCCTCAAACACCATTCCCCACTCATTCATCTTCAGGTATTTATTATACAACGTCTTATTAAGCTTTCCAGACTCCAGTAATCTAGGTAAACTATAGGTAAAAATATAGTATTAATCATAAGCTAAAATGTACTAATCTTTGTATTCTAAATGGGGAAAAGAAGAAACATTGTCAATCAGTCGAGAAAATTGTCAGTCAGGCTATATGGCAGCTTTGTAGATGTTGTGACTATGCTAGTAAGTAGTAATGGTCCCAGGCTTGCGACTGGAATTGCGATGTTAAATCGATTTAATGGTATACCAACGATCCACCTCCCACTTGTTGTTTGGTACTTAGCATTAATAGTGTTAGCTGTAGCCATTTATAGCAAGAATATTAAAACTAAAGGGGATGACAAAGAAAAGAGGAAGGAAAAAGAATAATGGAACAAACAATTAATTAAAGTATTTATAGGAGCATTAGTTATTGTAATTACAAGCTTCAATAATAAATCACTGACTTAAACTTCTAATTAAAATGACACTTGGTACGCTCGCCCATTTTCACTGGTCACTCTGAACTTCGGTTTAGCACGTTGTACACTTATTCACCTGAGTTTCAGAATTTTTTCAGTTTAGCAGAGTTAGTACCTGTGTTTCAATAAAATCAAAAGATATCAGGGGAGTTCTTTAATAATGTTATGGTCATCTAGAATACCGAACTTCCTGAAAACGTTATCATATTTCCTCAGACAACGTTTAATGCCTTTAATCAGTCTATCACGGCTATATCCTCTATCAATTAGAATTTTAAATATTTTGTGAAGATGGGAGGTAAAGATATCCAATCTAGTGCAAACATTACCATATCTAAGAACTTGACTTGAACAAACGTTGTAGCCAACCTCGGTTGGGATGTTACTGTGAGGAAATGTAAGGGATACAACATGAAAATTAAAATCATCAGTTTTGTTATACACTGATATTTCTAGTCCTTCTGTGGAAATATTAATATTTAAATCAAGGTAGTTAATGATTTTATTATTGGAACCAGCTCGCTCCATCTCCAATGAATTAGGATAAATATCTTTAGTCAATTTATGAAAGTAAAGGTAGTTAATAATAGATAAATCGTCAACATATCGTCTATTATTGGATAATATCTTTGCTAATCCCATTTTCTTTTCCTGAAGTAAACGTTTCATATAATTAAATTCCTTTTTGCCAACAGTGAGATCAGCTATAGGGGAACTTGAATTTCCACCCATAGGAATACCCTTGGTTTGTATGAATACAATCCCACCGAAGACAACATAAGTGTTATAAATAATAAATTTAACAGCCTCTTTTAGGTCATCTTGACTAAAGCAGGCATGAGAATTGAGAATCATAGGTTTTATTGGAAAAGAAACATGTATTACTGTCTCTTTTAGAAATACAAATATATCTATTACGGTCTGAAAATATTAAATCAACAACTTCATTAATCATATTCTCTACTTCAATCAAGTCTAATCTGGTATAAAGAGTAGTAAAATCATATACTTGTATATTATAAACATCGCTATTTTTGATAGCTTCGAGGAATTCACTTGAGGAATCTATGCTCCAAAACATGTTTATACCGCTGTTGTTGTAGATTGCCTCGCAGTATTTCTTGAAGTATTTCCTCAAAAGTTTCAGACGTTAAGTTGTTTCGTTACGCAAAAACGGGCACCTGCAATGAACCTCGCTTTGTAAGGGTTCTTATGAAGCTTAGGGTTCCAGAAGATGCGTGCTAGTCGCAAGTTTTTATCTTCAACTTGTACATTAAATCTCTCCTTTAGACTCTCAGATATTTTATTGACATAATGAGTCTCGTCTTCGCTACAGGGTTTATATGTATCATTACCTATACATTCTAGAGTATTAGGATCACAACCCATTTCATTGACAAGAGTTTTTACATAAAACTTTTTACAAATAAATGCAAAATTACCAGAAGCTTTGTCGATACTACCAATAATGTATTTACTTTTCAGCAATTTAAGACTTCTTTTAACTGGGGTTCCAGTTCATTAGTTAAGTAAGTTAACATAACGTTTAGACGAGCCAATGTTAAAGAATTCCAGTTTATCCTGATCAGAGTATGGCTCAGTTTTAACAGGTTTGGTGGGGTGCAGCCTCGTATAGCTATGTTTTTTGAATACTCCGCTTCACCAAGAAGAACGCTAAATATCTCATAAGCATCTATAAAGGGTTGTGACGCGGCCATAATTTAATATTCGCCCAATTATGCGTGACTACTTACGAAACCAGACACCATGGTTACCGGGAGAAATAATCATTTATGTTTTTACAGAGCTACAAATTAAATAGTCGAACTGGGGTTCCAGTTCATTAGTTAAAAGGAATGGTTATGCTTATCTTGTTATACTTAACTACTCAAATAATTATGTAATATTAATTATATACTTAAATACTTAAATACTTAAATACTTAAATACTTAAATACTTATATACTTATATACTTATATACTTATATAATTATATACAGGGTGGGCCAAAAGTCAGTGTGCAAACGTTGGCCTTAATAGCTCAGTCACTGAGTGCCCAATCGAAATACTTCCCTCTGGTATGACTTAGTACCACCACTGGTTCGAGGAATTTGTCAACTCGAAAAAAAAAACTCGTTCATTTTTTTCAAATGGAGGTTCATTTTCACATTTATTTGATAGTTAGGATAGTCGGATCAAGCTAAATGTTATTGAATTGTGTTTGGCCATTCGAATTACGTTTGTCCTGAAAGAATTAGAACTGTAGCTTCTCAGATGACCGAGATATGAAGCATAACGAGTTTATTCATTACGTGTGATCAGGTGATTGGTTTACCTAATCACGTGATAAGGTGACCCCGTTAACTACCCCGTTAAACATTATGGGAATTGTTAAGGGTGCCCAATTAAGGTGTCGTGTCACGGTGTCACATAATCACCCAGTCAATTTTGTTAACGAGATACACAAAATGCTTGATAACTTCGTCATTTCTAATCCGTTTTGCCTCATGTTTTCAGATCATATGCAACATTTGATAATCTACCGTCTCTGAAAAAATTAGGCGTTCAGCATGTTCAGAGAAAACAATATAGGTGTTTTAATATTGAATGGGCGTGGTCTAAAATATTCGAATTTTCAAATTTTGACGACGGAATCCTCGAACCAGTAAGTACAGTATGCCATCTGCAAAGCGACAGCTCTCAAATATAAAACACGGCGGAGGTATAAGACCCAACGTTTGCACACTGACTTTTGGCCCACCCTGTACTTATATAATTATATACTTATATGCTTATATACCTATATGCTATAAGCATGAAGACCTTATAGTCTTCTGTAAGGGCTGCAGTCACCTTCGGATTGCAGGTTGCAAGTCTAGGTTTTTTTTTTCTTTTATGTCGAAGCGGAAAAGGTACAGGAGACTACCTACTCCACGATGGCATCCGATACAATACAATACAAATATATACTTAAATACTTCTATAGTAAATACTTATATGATTATTTACTTATGTGATAAATATACTTATATAGTATATACTTACTTATATAATAGGGGAAGTGGAAGTGTCGGATTGGGGGTTTAAAGGTTAAGTATCAGAGACATTTAAATAATATGGATGGATTAAATATGCTCCCTATTTACGATTTAATCGATTCATTCGGTGCATCATCATGCAACATCGGAGACAGGGAGTGGTTATTTAAGAGCTGCACGTACTAAGGGAGTGGTTATTTAAGAGGTGCACGTACTAAGGGAGTGGTTATTTAAGAGGTGCACGTACTAAGGGAGTGGTTATTTAAGAGGTACACGTACTAAGGGAGTGGTTATTTAAGAGTTGCACCTACTAAGGGAGTGGTTATTTAAGAGGTGCACGTACTAAGGGAGTGGTTATTTAAGAGGTGCACGTACTAAGGGAGTGGTTATTTAAGAGGTGCACGTACTAAGGGAGTGGTTATTTAAGAGGTGCACGTACTAAGGGAGTGGTTATTTAAGAGGTGCACGTACTAAGGGAGTGGTTATTTAAGAGTTGCACGTACTAAGGGAGTGGTTATTTAAGAGGTGCACGTACTAAGGGAGTGGTTATTTAAGAGCTGCACGTACTAAGGGAATGGTTATTCAAGAGGTGCACGTACTAAGGGAGTGGTTATTTAAGAGTTGCACGTACTAAGGGAGTGGTTATTTAAGAGTTGCACGTACTAAGGGAGTGGTTATTTAAGAGGTGCACGTACTAAGGGAGTGGTTATTTAAGAGGTGCACGTACTAAGGGAGTGGTTATTTAAGAGGTGCACGTACTAAGGGAGTGGTTATTTAAGAGGTGCACGTACTAAGGGAGTGGTTATTTAAGAGTTGCACCTACTAAGGGAGTGGTTATTTAAGAGGTGCACGTACTAAGGGAGTGGTTATTTAAGAGGTGCACGTACTAAGGGAGTGGTTATTTAAGAGGTGCACGTACTAAGGGAGTGGTTATTTAAGAGGTGCACGTACTAAGGGAGTGGTTATTTAAGAGGTGCACGTACTAAGGGAGTGGTTATTTAAGAGGTGCACGTACTAAGGGAGTGGTTATTTAAGAGTTGCACGTACTAAGGGAGTGGTTATTTAAGAGGTGCACGTACTAAGGGAGTGGTTATTTAAGAGCTGCACGTACTAAGGGAATGGTTATTCAAGAGGTGCACGTACTAAGGGAGTGGTTATTTAAGAGTTGCACGTACTAAGGGAGTGGTTATTTAAGAGTTGCACGTACTAAGGGAGTGGTTATTTAAGAGGTGCACGTACTAAGGGAGTGGTTATTTAAGAGGTGCACGTACTAAGGGAGTGGTTATTTAAGAGTTGCACGTACTAAGGGAGTGGTTATTTAAGAGTTGCACGTACTAAGGGAGTGGTTATTTAAGAGGTGCACGTACTAAGGGAGTGGTTATTTAAGAGGTGCACGTACTAAGGAAGTGGTTATTTAAGAGCTGCACGTACTAAGGGAGTGGTTATTTAAGAGGTGCACGTACTAAGGGAGTGGTTATTTAAGAGGTGCACGTACTAAGGGAGTGGTTATTTAAGAGTTGCACGTACTAAGGGAGTGGTTATTTAAGAGTTGCACGTACTAAGGGAGTGGTTATTTAAGAGGTGCACGTACTAAGGGAGTGGTTATTTAAGAGGTGCACGTACTAAGGAAGTGGTTATTTAAGAGGTGCACGTACTAAGGGAATGGTTATTCAAGAGGTGCACGTTCTAAGGGAGTGGTTATTTAAGAGGTGCACGTACTAAGGGAGTGGTTATTTAAGAGGTGCACGTACTAAGGGAGTGGTTATTTAAGAGGTGCACGTACTAAGGGAGTGGTTACTTAAGAGGTGCACGTACTAAGGGAGTGGTTATTTAATTAAGAGGTGCACGTACTAAGGGAGTGGTTATTTAAGAGGTGCACGTACTAAGGGAGTGGTTATTTAAGAGTTGCACGTACTAAGGGAGTGGTTATTTAAGAGTTGCACGTACTAAGGTGATAGTGGATAATTAAACGTTCTCCGAGTTTAGTTTAGACAACAATAAGCAATACTGATACGGTAGTTTACACAGCAAAGACCGGTATCTTTTCGGTAAATAACATCGATTTTAGTTGTAAAACTGGTCTGAACCTTTCCAGTTTAACAAATGACACAACGGTTTAATTGGATAAGAAGTAAAATTTATTGATACAAACAAATTTAGTGATTTTGATTAAGATGTTTTCAAAGAGTGATCTGTTAATTATTTATCAGCGTTATCTGTTCCCATTTAAACACCATGTCATTTGTCAAACAGCTAGAAGATCAAACGTACAACATAAACCTCGTGGTTAGTACTTTAGTAATCAATCTGCCAATACTTCCACTTGTAAACCGTTTTCAAATTCAGGAGTTCAGTTCAACGTGTCTCCTACATCCTCTTCAAACGTGTCCTCTCCAACAGTTACCAGCTCTACTCTGTTTGTTGAGGAACCACCTCTACACGACGCTAGAAAACAGGTACTTGACAAGAAAACAATACTCTTTCTCTTTCTCTTTCACTTTCATTATAGACACTTCAGCAATCGCACTACTGAACTTTCTCTTAGGACTGCAATCCCCACCGGCCCCAGCATGATGTCATGGTTAAAAGTGCAGTTTCCAGAAATGGGGATTACTCACGTAAAAGCCCGGTTGTGGTTAATTTACCCCCCGAACTAACCCCACAACTACCCACTTAAGAATTTCATTCAAAGTTTCACTAACCACATAAATTTGTAATGTTACTTTGTAATGCCACCGAGCAGTTTACCATCAAACTGATGACTAAGCTAAATACTTCCATTATGAACGTAGAGAATACCTGGGTTCAATCGGATGGAACCCAGGCATTCTAAATCTCTACGTTCATAATGGAAGTTTAAAATCTATCCATTTAAAATTTGGATTGAATTTAGATTTTAGAGCGGTCTCGGGGATTCATATAATTTCTAGCTCACTTCTGAACAGAGCTAACTACTGTATATAACCTTCCTCGTGATTGAGAGGGTGGACGATTTTAATAATCTGGTTTTGAGTTTTCTAGTTTTGGTTAGGGAAAAGGGCTAAGGTCGAAATACAACAATGAAAATGATGTCTAGATTCTAGATGAATATTGAATTTAATTTATAAGGCTAAACCTTTGTTAAAGAATAGTTTCTCTAGATTTTAAATTCCAAAATGTATGGAGAAAATGGAAAAACATTTGAGTTAATCGAAATGTATTTCTCTAGATTTTAAATTCCAAAATGGCATACAAATTTGTACCGTATGGAGAAAATAGAAAAACCTTTGAGTAAATCGAAATATATGCCATTTTAAGTCACTTTTGATCGGCCCCACTGATTCCTCCACTATATACCGTGCAAACAGAGACCCTGACGATTGATCGACATTAGCTAATAATATAAGAGCACACTCATTATTAGGAGCCTCAAAAACAAAATACACCTCGCTGGATTCTAGAGGCTCCCCCAAATTGAATCAGATCTCTAAATTTGAGTATTTAGGGAAGATTACTAGATTCCAGCCTGTTCTTCTTTGTACGGCTTCGCACATCATGAAATCCCTCCACCGTCCCACGTACGACTACCATGAGATGATGGGTCGGGCAGCGACGTTACTGGGCGGCGCTCAGCCTGTCAATTCAAATAATCAATTCCGCCATATATCCAATATGTTTATGAACAGAAAGGCGGTCCCCAGGTTAGCAGCGACGCAACGTCTGGCAAGTCTTTATATATGGTGTAAATAAGAAAATAGATCGCATAATATCCCGCTTCTTCAGCACTTACGAAGCAGGGTTATCACGTGGTGTCTCGCCACCCACACACTCCATGAATGAAAAATGATCATGTCCTCGAACGCGAACGTGAGCCATTTGAACCAAACAATGTTCAAAATATTACAATATGTCAAATAGAAATATTAAAGTTTATAGAGCAAAGTTGTGCTATTATAATGCGGTGCGGGAAAGTAGCAACCACCGGGCGAGAGGTTGCGTGATGTACCCAAGCTAAGACTGGAAAATGGAATACAACTAAATATTGACCATGAATAAGTTCATGTGGGCTGAGGACAGCTACTGTGTACTGTGAGACTCTTCGGCCTTACATAATACTAATAGTAATACAATAGTGTAATGAATGTCGAATTACTATCTTATTGGATGTAATTTATATCCGTTCAAATAAAGTCCGGTAAGGTAACAGCCACGTGCCTCCTACTCCTGGAGAAGATCGCATCTTGATATCTGCTTTTTTTAGTTAATTTGGGTACAAATTGGATTTCTTAAATAGCTTATGGAGCTGCTGCTGAGTGTATCTCATCGTTTAAATTTAGTGCATTGTCACATTGTGCTCAGAATCGACTCCCAAAATATCTAGGCTCTAATTTATCCAGGAGCTGCGTGGCGATCATGAGATCCACCTTGTCAACAGCTGGATGATATCGTCTGTAATCAGCTGGCGGGATCAGCTGATCATCTCATTAACTGATATGGTGATCAGCACTCAGCAGCATGCTCACGCGTGAGCAGGCCGGTCAGGTACCCAATCAACACGTGACACCCGCACTAAATTTATCATTACACGATTGATGTGAGGTTTTCAAGCAAATTTGCGTGGTTATCCAAGATCAAAATCGCATGAATTCACTTTGAGACCAAGAACAGGTTGATAGTATGAAAAAATAAGCGATATAAGAAAATTTGTTATTTAAACGTTATGATGCTAATGCTATCACCCGAGTGAACATTTTAACGGACCCCGGAGGTGATACCTTATAGCCCCTGTAAGTTATAAATGACGTCCTCAAACCGTTCTTGAGTTATTATCACTGATCACTTGGTTGCGTGTTATTACACCTCCAATCTAACACTGACTCCGCTAGAATACGGGCTTTTTAATGGAATTAAGATCGGCTGGTTCTTGTGTTACTACCAGTTGTAACAGGTAACTGCAGTATTAGTCCCAACCATTCAAACGTAACTTTCACATTTTTCAGCAGAGCGTGACTTTTACTTTCAATAACATGTCATATTTCAGGAGAGATGGAACATGAAGGGACATCAAGGATGTTCGATAAAATTAGAGCCTAGACACATCGGACAGGCGACAACTCTAGAAACAGGTAAGCTCACACTGCCCTCAACTTTCTTGAGTCAAGAATCTGGACGTATAAATATACTATTTTAACAAACTTCCTGGTCGTTAGACTACGGCCGTAATAGAACTATTTGTCACGTTGCACTTGTTCTGATATTTAACGTCATACTCTTTGAATTATTTGTGGAATACGCAACGTTGAGAAAGTATGGATAGATAATAGATTATGACATACTTATTGCTTAGGGATGAAAACTTACCATTGTTTAAAAACACATAAATTGTTATAGCCGCCAAAAATACGGTATTTATCAAATGATAAAATCTTTCAGAAAAGGTTTCAGATTCAGCACGATTGCTGAAAATATCGAATATAACTGGGCGAATGGGCCCCCTGGAAGCTACGAATCACAAAACAGAAATACCTCCAATAGCGTCTTACATCCAATTCTACACGGGACAAAACTGACGCTTACTGCAGCTATAAATCTTATAACAGAATATTGAAAACCAGGACTTATTATATGATTCAAGCTGACCATTTATTAAGCTGGTTGCACATATATGATTAATTAAGCATGTCGACCGGCTTTTGCTTAGGCTCGATAAAAGATTAGCTGGTTCAGCCCGATCAATTTTATTTTAAAGATTCCTTGCATAGCATCTTAGCATTTCCTGGGAAACCCCCACCTCTATACTAGAACAGTTACCCTTTCCAAGCTCTCTTTACCAAGCAACTTACAAGACGTTAGGGAACATTATTAGTTAAATTATGAGATTCTTATTACTTACAAACCATCCGTGACAATTTAGGGGTTTAATATTTGTTGATTTCATACAGTCTTTTATGTTTTTATAATTTTCTTGTTGTAATGACAAATAATCTGTTAATTTTGATTGACGTCGGTTATTTCAACCATTTTAATAAATGAATTCTATACATAGGAGTAGGACTATATATTCATTGGTTCTAAGTTTTCTAGTTTTTATTATTTCGCTTAATTAACAATTTGACTTTGAAGAAATGAAGCGAGTCGTATTTTTTCTCTCGTATAACTTATAAAATCAGGCTACAAATAAGCAAACAAAAGAATTCGGAAAATAGATCCCTTGGAAACGTGTGGTGTATTTCCACAGCATAGCATGAGAAAGGTTTTGTGGTATTAAGAAAATAGAACTCAATGGATATTTCTGATTTGTTGAGTGGGGGAATCAATAGGATCAGAAGTACTGTTAAAAGAGAAAGCATGCGTTTTCCTGCCCAACAGAAATAGCATTTACAGGGAAGAATCGTAGTAAAGATAAAGATGAACGATCAGCGTTGTGGGTACAAATGAAGACATGAAACATGCTGCAACAAATTCACTCAACACCAAACCAATGCACTCTGAAACCTAACACATTCACAAAAAAACTTATCAACGAAATATGAATATTTGAATCGTGATGGCAGTTTTTTATGGCGATCCTGGTGTCGCCAACCAGACCTTCTTTGTCAAATATTATCCATGCCCTGCACGACCGAGCAATGGTCCATCTATTGAAAAAATGTCCAAATCCGTCTCCATTTAGTATACAGATGTGCTGTCGCTTTTTGGTATCATACAGCGTAGAACGGCGTGGTAGGTTCAGTTGACGATCTTAAACCCTCCCATTTTCGACAGGTTTAAGTTTTTCTTTGCCAGAGCACACTGAAATTTGAAAAATACTTCATCCATTAAATTTTAGAATCAGTGCTTTACACTAATCATGTTTGATAAGTGGTTATAACGTTTACATTTTGTGTACGGTAAGATGGTCGATCACAATTCGATCAACGTGACGGACGTGCTCAACTAAAAGATCGACTGAGCTACACCGCGCGGCTCAGATCAGATAGATGCACGCGCGCGAAATTAATTCTGAAAAGATGCAGTTCGATAACATAGCATTGCGCAAAACTAGCAATAGGAACGAAATAACCCCGGCAAAGGCGTTAGCTCTGGCCATCGAGCCGATAACAAATTATCCTGCCGCGATGTAAGTTATATAGTTTCCTTCATAAACAAAATGACTACTCACATTATTTGCGTAGTGTCCCTTCTCGCCGCACTGAAACATAATTTCATTAACCTCAAGATAAGGAGTAAAGAAACTGAGGACCTAATATTGCAATAAACCAAGAAGACACGACAAGTATGTTGGTAGATAATCCTTTTTGACCACAAAATGTAGAATAATCAAACCTTGAAACAGGTAACAGTGTGCAGGGGTTTGGCAACATATCCTGAATTGTTAACGGGCACGAGAGTGTTGTTGAATGGAGTAGGGGGTGTGTCCGAATGATCGTGTGATCTCTTCACTTCAATCGTCATACCTGAACAAGGTGTATCATAAATTATATGTATTCTGGTCAAACTGCGCGATACTAAGTACGAAATCGATGTGGATAAACTGCTAAAAATACCTCCAATTCTGAGGCAATAAAATTAAACTTTAATTGGGACACTTCATACAAAGATACAAAATAGATCAGACTCAAAGTAAAAGTGATAGCACAGCGTGTCACTAACCAGGGGTAATAGTTTTAAGGACCGGATTGTTAATGCTGGTACTGGGTTGGTTGGGGAGGATGTTTCGGAGCGGACAATGTGTGATCACGTGACCAGGCTCATTGCAACTGGGGAGGTGGTGTTATTGGAATATGACAATTTATGACTGATACAATTTAAACAAATTGTGGTGACACAATTCGGCCATGCTTAAAAACTAGAAAAGCTTGATCGGAAATTGTAATTTAATTTTAATTCAGTCATCTTTGAGCTGATAAACAATTAAGGTAAGGCAATTTAAGGTTTGTTAATTTAACAGTGTAACAACTTACTGATGACATTTGACCCTGTTCAAGTTGTCTTTAGTATCCACTCTTGGTAACTCAAACCGGGGATGCATGGACTTACACTTAGGTCCTATTGGACAGAAACCGGACATGTAATTAGTACACATGACACGTCGGATGTGTCTGTTTTTACAGAGGGGTCCGTGCTTACAGAAACCACGGTCGTACCACGGACAGTCTTTTAACTGAGTGTTAAGTGGGGTTAGTTGAAGTTAATTGTAGGATCAGAGCTGAACGTTTGTTATAAAATCAATAACGAAGCAGAAGCCAGCACTGTACACCTTCATTCCTGTGGCAATCTAGCTGAATATGCTGAATATGCTGAATATGCTGAAATCTCGTTCCGCTTACTCAAATTTCCTATGTGTTACTCAATTATCGTTCTTATCACGCTTACAAGCATTACAGTAGCGCTAGATAGCAGGTCACCACACCTTTCACTTGACCAGTATCTGTTTATACAGATGTGGAGCAGTGGGCCAAGGAAGCTAAATCTATAAGCGGACATGAAACGCTACAATCAGACGAAACGTCTTTTGTTTCCTATTTTAACAAGATTTGTTTAGGTTGGGTTGAATTTTATCATATTTATGAAAAAGTTTCGTGATAAGAACCAGAATGTTGACGGTATAAGTAAAAGCAAACATTTCCGTGCTTTGTTGTTATCAAAAATTAGCGTCCAAATTTCACTAGTGGCGCCATTCTGAGGTGATTTAGAATATTTTCTAAAAGACCTCAAAACGGAAATTGAACTGTTTCACGTCTGTAAGCAGATACAGGGGAGATAAATATTAAATAATCGACAAGATGAAAAGGGTTTGAATTCAGAAGCTCACTTTGGAGTTAGGGTCAATATGAAGGTACTGGCAGTCCTTGTTGCTGCATTCTCCGTACTTGCTGAAAAAGTAACACTCCGGCATTTTGGTCATGTCATACTCGTGTAGATACTCGCAATCGTCTCCCTGAAAAGGAGGGGTAATCAAATAAATAATGATAATATTATAAATTATGTTTCTACAGCACAATTATAGAAAATATCCAATATTTAATATTTTAATATTCTCACAAAATTGAATGAATAATTTTCGGAGGAACAACAGTGTGCAGTGGGGTGGCGCACATACCTTCTTACAAAGACCTCTCAACCAATGCTTACAAACAACTGTCTTAGGACCGCTCGTATGTCTGAAGGGACAACTTATGTCTCTGTAACATATACCACGTTGGAAAAACTTGCATATTGAAGCACTCGACTCTGAAATGGACATTTCACTGAATTAAATAATTAGAAAAAACGTATATTTATTTCATTGTCTGTAAAAGTATAGTGATCCTTACTTCCAAGTTCTATCTTTAGTATAAGCAGAAATATGCAAACAGTGGCTGAAAATGTGAACTTAAATACCAGTAGAAACAAACTAATGCTATACTTACTGTCCATTTTAGGAAAAGGAAGAGGCTGAATTCCTCGCTGCTCCTCAAGAGCTATCTCTATCTCAAACTCAACCTCATCCACGCCTGCTATCTGTGTCAACATGGTGCTGGTGCTATGTAGGTTGTTACAGGATTATATTACGTATATGAATACAACCGTTGTTACCGATCAATATACCAATTTACCAGGACATATTTTTGCTACATTTTGATCGAAAAGCCTTGAAATTTTCATAAGTTGTAATAAAAATAGGTAAAAGTAAAGATCATCACCACAATTCTATAGATCCAAGGTATCAGTTAAATTATTGTAAATAAAAGAATTAAAATAAATCCGAAATTAAAACTTTATAAAAATCACTTAAAATTTTTTAGAAAAGAAAAACGAAATAGAAAATTGCTTCAACGAAAACTAAAAATAATATTAAACTAATATATAAACATATTAAATCAAACTTTATCTTTCCCAAAATATTATTCACAGTCTTTAAACCAGTCATCTGGATCAGATGCTTCTAGAATTTATATTCTAGAATCCACAAATTCCATCACAGTTGTTTTTCTAGTAACTTTCTCTGAATGTTCCATAAACTCAACGAACAAATCCAAAATTTCCTTAGCATTTCCAATGTTCTCTTTACCATCACAGCAAACAACAGAGTAATCCATAACTCCGTTAACACAGTGATACAAGGCAACATTGTTACAAAAGGAGGGACACCAATATGAACCCAGGGAGTGAGTTGAGGTCATCTCACCCCAGCTGTACTTAGTGGGATAGTCATAAACCATCTGGTTACTCGGGAACACCTCAGAAGTTGGCGCAGAGTTAAGAAACTCGAAGTGCTGGCTTTCTCTCAGTTTGTCCTGATAAGCTCCCTGAAACAGTGGTAATCTCTGTTCTGCATAACAACTCTGTAGCTGTAGGCTGATATCCTCAGCAATGTCCAGAAGAGAGGAGTCCTCCTCAATATTAGCCTCAATCCAGGTCTCAGCGATGCACAACATGAAGCACTCGCCAGGGTTTGGTTGTAGTCTACTCCGGAGGTCAGCCGCTAAATCAGCGTACTGAGTAGGGAGACCCTGCTCGGGGAACTTCCCTCCTTTTCTTTGAACGTGCACTGCAGCAACTGCGAAGAACAGCACTGCAAAGCTGTACGAACCTATGGTGATTTTACTTTCTTTACACAGAGCCTTCAAGGCCAGAAATCCTTCAGACGTCCCTATAGCACTTAAAGTTTTGTTAACCCAAGGAATCGACCCTCGTGAGGCTGCTGCTTCATCTTGATTAACCGGTAGAAGAGTTTGTTGAAGTTTAGCTCGCTTCACCCTACTCTCTATCATCCTCTCAACTACCCTATCATCCTGTGCGAACTGTGCCATGACTCCAACAGAGGGTAACACTGGTGCTGGTGTCAAATCCGCTCCCTTTCCTGATGAGATCAAGTCATATTGTCTCAATATCTCGTTTATAACGCGGAACCCAGAGGTCCCATCTGAAATCCCGTGATGATATTGATTCAGTAGGATGTAACAGTCTGGTCGTTTCACAAGACAGCACTTGTGTAACGGTTTACCGGAGCCAAAGGTAAAAGGTTGATTAGCCAAATTCTCCGCTAGTTCCCAACATCCAGTGTATCCAGTGACAATGTCCTCCTCAACTTCACTCTGGTCATAGAATTGGAACACGTCCGAATAGTCAGTAGCCGGAGTAAAATAGATCTCTCCATCTTCTCCTCTTTTCACGTCAGCTCTGAAAGTTGGCTGGTTATAAATCAGTGCTCTATATGCCTGTTCAATCTTTACTGGGTCCAAATAGTCTGCCGATATGCATGTGTTCATCACAATGTTGCAGTTCGACGTATGGTCCAGCTTTCCGAAAAAGTGAGTCTCCCATAGGCCAATTTTACGGGTTATCCATAAGTTTGGGTCGGAAGGTCCATGAGAGAACATTGAGAGACCTGACAATTTAAAGGCAATAAACGTAATCGAGTTTTGAAGATTTGTTCGAAACAATTTAATACTGTTTTGTCATAAAAATCAAAATAAGATAAAATTCTTACAAAGTTTCTATAGAAAAATAACCTGCCCCAATAAATTACCACAGCTTCCTTAAAACGCTTAACACTCCAAATGCCACGTGGTTATCATTCATCAAATAGATTAGCATCAGTAACCTTAAAATGCTCAACGTAAGGATAATGCCCTAAAATATATACAAGGGTCCACGTCAAGAACTCTCGTCACAAATTATCGAGATTAACAACCCTGACAACTTTGTGTCTATCCTTGCTAGGACCAAAATTACTCCCCACTTCCAAATTCTTCAGGGTGTTCCTCAGACTTATGTTCGCAGTCTGGAACCCCTCGGTTGAGATCAGCTCGTCTAGTTTCTCTACAGCTGAAATTTATAGTTCATTTACAGTACTCGAATAAATTATTCTAGATTAAATCTTATGGATCGTTCACATTTTACATATAATGCCATATTTTGGTCACACCATAAGTGTTGAGAAAGCTAGGTATGGAAGGTATGGATTTCAAATTTCATATGCAATTACAGATATTAGTTAGATTATGTAGAGCTCCCCAGGTATTTCATAGTCTGATATCTGTGTACGTACCTGACAAGTCTAGAATGAGAGTATCGTAAAGTAACGCCGACCAAACATCCAGTCCCTCAACTTCCCGCATCTCACAGCCTGACATGGTTTATGTTAGATTTGGGCATGGTGAGGTGATTTGGAATAATTAAGACAAAATTGGATAAAAATATGGGGGACCATGCTTTTACACTTTACAGGAGCTGCATCTGCACTCGATATCTGTGTTTTGGTGACCCACAAGTCATTTGATTACATACATTTTAAGTATTATGCATATTAAGCTAGCTTACAAATATACACTTTCTCTCAGGATACATTTTGTAGTTTATTCCATTGTGTAATTTGTAAGTAATTTTTCAATTTAAAAAATTGGCACGTATGGGCATCTGAAGTCCGTGACCCTCACAAGAATTTAGTCACAGGCCTTATTTTATTGGAGAACTGTTATCAGAAATCAAGTTTCAGAAAACAATAAGAGTAAAACCCCACCCTAAACTGTAATGGTAACCGGCTGATGGTGGCTGTTAATGAGCCTGTCGTGCATCTGCTTTCAAGACAGTAACCCCTCAAAATAACAAACTACTCCTGTCACATCATTAAGTCACTACAGCTACAGTCCATATAATTAGCATTAGTTTTCACAGCTCAAATTACCAGCTTGTCAATAATTTCATGACATTACCCATTTAACTATCAGTCTGATTGGCTCCGATAACCTCCAAATATCTGATAAGTACCCTGATTGGTACCTTCTAAACCAGTCAGGTGTGGGACGTTCAGATATAAAAACAGCACCTATTCTCTGAATGGATCAGTACACCACAGTTCCAAGTTGTTTAGTTGTTACGTTAGTTAGACTTTTTCTAGGTTTCTAGACTGACTGCAAATTGTAATCGACCGTGTGATAATTACTATGTTATACTAATCTTCTGCTTGTGTTCCTGTTTAGAATTACCAAATATTGTTCCAATCTGTCAATACACCATCAACAAAACTCTCTCTAGCAGGAATGAAAATGGTTACATTATTTCTCCTCCTCTGGGGCATGGTATCAGCTAGAATCAAGTCCACAAACCTAAGTTACAGAATGGTTCAGCAACTTGACGGTATAAGGAGACTGGTGAAGCTGAACGAGGGAGTGGTGGCTACTTGTAACCTGGTCCTTATACCACAGCCTGTCAACTACAGGTACCACCTCTGACCACTTACATTTTATACCTTTTGTAATTACCTTTTATGGGTACTTCTCATATTTAGCTAGCATACATTTCCCATAAAACCAGCATTTCAACTCCAACCACACATGTTTATTGTTTACAGGACAGCAGAGGAGAGCTGCAAGAGTTTTGATATCGGAATGGGACCCCAACAAGGACAACTAGTAAAGATTAAGGGTGAGACGCGGAGCTGGGCCCTGCAACTCCTGATGGGAGTGGGACTAGAGTTGGAGTCGCAGCCGGAGGTTATCTGGACCTCCACCAGGTGGGCCTGGACCGGACTGAGGAAGATACAGAACCAGGTGGGCAAGGTGAAGAAGAGCGCTAGATACACAGCTGGGGAGTGGCAGTGGGCTGATGGCACAATACCTGGTTAGTTCATTTCTCCAGGTAATTGTAACATTAGCATCATTCACAATACCTGGTTAGTTCATTTCTCCTGGTAATTGTAACTTTAGCATCATTCACAATACCTGGTTAGTTCATTTCTCCAGGTAATTGTAACATTAGCATCATTCACAATACCTGGTTAGTTCATTTCTCCAGGTAATTGTAACTTTAGCATCATTCACAATACCTGGTTAGTTCATTTCTCCTGGTAATTGTAACTTTAGCATCATTCACAATACCTGGTTAGTTCATTTCTCCAGGTAATTGTAACATTAGCATCATTCACAACAACAATACCTGGTTAGTTCATTTCTCCAGGTAAATGTAACATTAGCATCATTCACAACAACAATACCTGGTTAGTTCATTTCTCCAGGTAATTGTAACATTGGCATCATTCACAACAACAATACCTGCACTGGTTAGTTCATTTCTCCAGGTTATTGTAACATTAGCATCATTCACAACAACTCACTCTGTCTTCTGTTATTCTAATGTTCGTTGTTGTAATTTCTTATAAATATTTTCAAACTCGAATGCTTTATAATCCTGGTTATCCTACCAGGACATTTCAGCAACTGGAGGAGGGAACAACCGGATCAGAAGAAAGAGATGCTAGGAAATAACGGATGTGACGAGGGTCCGGCCTGCTACGAGCACTTCATGAGAGTAGACCACCTGGGAGAGTGGGATGACGCGTTCCAGTTCACAACACACCCCTATATATGTGAGTACCAAGGCAGGTATGTGGTATCTGGTGAGAAGAAGAGTTGGGAGGATGCTAAACTAGAGTGTCATGAGGCCGGACTTCAGCTCGCTAGGATCCGATCTGATCAAGATTTGCAGGTTAGTTTTGATTTTTTTAAACATTACTTTACAATACAACTTTAACATCCTTTACAAGAGAAATTAAAATGGAGTTGAACTACCATGGCACCGCAGCAATAAGCCCATTTTCATTATTCTAACAACCTGATCCCTCAGGAGCTGAAGACAGCAGTAGAACACTATCTGGGACCCCACAACCACAAATCCGGGGACTACAGCTGGATCTGGGTAGGAGGACAGAGAAGAAAGAAGATTGAAGTGGAGTGGGAGTTTTCTGACTGTGAGGATATCGAGTGGGACATCAGATGGGAGCACGATACGGAGATCAACAAGGAGGAGAAAGATGTCCTGACCATGTCCAGATGGGGAACGATTGATGCTGAGTTTGAAGATGGAGATGAGAGACCTTTTGCTTGCCAGTGCGCTGGCTCTTGATTTTTAGTACGGACAGATCATTTTGATGGTTGATACAGCTATATAGATTTATCGCGGGGAATGATTACTATCATTCCTGGGAACTCAATTCGCCTAAAACTGGGGACATAGATTCTAACTTTCTTAATGATTGGTGGAAAACGAGTAATTTAAAATAGTAACGATGCTGAATTTTGAACAAATCTCGGCTAATCCTTTTTTAGTTTACAAATTTCTATTGTAAATTATAATCTTATCTATTTATTCAACACGAATTTCCCCAACTGCTGACTAATTATTCTGTAATTTACCAATATTCAGCATCCGGCATGCAAACCTTTTGCTAGTAATAGTATAAAGAATAGAATAGAGAATACACTAACCGATTGTATTGGACGCAGTTTTCCAAAGTCTCTGAGTGCCAGGATATTTGGCCGGGAACGGTTCTTTCCTCTTCCAAGAAGAGGACTTGAAGTGAGGCGTTATATGGCGTCCTGTACGTAGTGTTATTTAGTGAACCCAATTGTTGTAAACAAGTGTCATCAAGCATTCCAAAAAGTCTGATCACCCTTTTCGCCATCGAAATGGCGTAAAGAAGATCAACAGAAATCAAATCATTTCAAAAAATTGTCAAATCGCTCACCAGTAATCATAAGAACAGAAGAAAACCCACTGTCGTCCAATATTTGTCTGAAATCTGAGGGCTCTACGTAGCTGAAAATAAAATATGTTTACAGTAATTAACAGCACGTAATTAACAGCACGTTACTACGTGGTAATTAACAGCACGTTACTACGTGGTAATTAACAGCACGTTACTACGTGGTAATTAACAGTGCACGTTACTACGTGGTAATTAACAGCACGTTACTACGTGGTAATTAACAGCACGTTACTACGTGGTAATTAACAGTACGTTACTACGTGGTAATTAACAGCACGTTACTACGTGGTAATTAACAGCACGTTACTACGTGGTAATTACCAGTACGTTACTACGTGGTAATTAACAGCACGTTACTACGTGACTTTCTTTATGAAGATGAATGGTGTATTGCACGTGTATTCTCTTCACCATGTAAACCGCCAGATTGATCTGACTCTTAAACTGGCCCTCAGTGAAATAAGAAACTACTAAATCTACACATGGGCTCGAGGAACTGCTAAGTGCTTCTTTACAGCTCTTACATCTCAGGCTACAAATTACTCAGTGTTATAGTTAAAGCACCTTCCTCACCTATCTGGTGTAGACAGGTCCTCCACAATGTGTAGTTTATCGTATCTGTATTTTATAGATAACAGAGCCCTGAGTCCAACCTCACGTAGCTTCTTGGGTACCATTCCTAGGAGAGACTCAATCTCAACTCAACATTACAGACGACAAAAACTAGCAAACAAAAATAATGGACGGTTTTCTTTAAAGAAAAAGACGGCGAAGAAAACACCCTTAAAAAAGGAAAACCTTGATAGTGCGGTACTGGCATGTGAGAGGTAGAAGTGCACTGTATCTTAGTAGGGTTGGTGTATGAGACAGGGTTCCAGGAAACGCCCTGTTTTATCCAGGGTTTCAAGTGGGGTTTGTCAGCATACAGTCTGTCGGAGTGGCGGTCGAAATTTATCTGAAAGAGCGATTGTGAAGGAAGGAGTTTGATATTACTGGTGGTACGAAAACTTTTTGGTGACATAACATCTGCTAAAAATTATAAATCATATTTATTCAACACACAACCAATCAAGAGAACCCAAAAAACAATAAACACCCACAAAGTTGTTTTCCTCAGAACCATAGGGCTCGTCCTGTAGCTTCAACTTGAGCTGTCTGAGAACGATAGGGGCGAGTATGTGAGGTCGGGGTGGGAGGCCATACAGCCGGGGGTTGAGGGAGACCAGGTGCTGTTTAGTTCCGGAGAGGTCATGTACCCAACTCTCACATACTTCTAGTAGTTCGTGCTCCCTGTTAGTTGTAGAAATGTTGTTATGCGGGTATCATTCAGAGTCAATCAATAATACAGAGTATCCATAAAATATTAGTTTTTTAATTAATTGATCCCAAAGTAAAGGGTAACTTGCTCACCTCTCCTCCTCCTCGACATCCTCAAAAGGAGCAGCCACACCCTCATCATCTACACTCTCATCTACACTCATACACCTAACACAACCAGTAACTCCTGGCATCCTGCCAGTTACTGAGCCAGTTACTGGCACTGAGCCAGTACCATGTAGTGATCTGGCAGAAGGTTTGTCTGTTTGAGCGGGAAGGTTCCTCCTGGTGATCTGGTCCAGTGCACGACAGAGTAAAGTACTCTTCCTACTTAGCATCCTGTTATAAGCTTTATTAGTGATATAAAGTACTCTTCACTAGAGATAGAATGTGTTTCTGTGTGTTCAAGTTCTGATTGATATCTACTAGTCTGACTATGATTTCATCTCAAATTTTCCATGGTCGGAATGTTGGTTAATCTTCGGAGAGCACAGAATTGAAACTGCTCTACTGTGATAGCTGACAAAATACACAATTTGCCGTTAGACAGTTAATATTTTAATACTAGTCTCAAATTAGCTTCTTTTTATTCACTTATCAAAACAAATCATTACTAACTGTACGGTTCCTGTTCATGTGGGTTCAAACAGTGTACTAGTGACAATTTAACCTAATTTAACAAAATTTAACGTAATTCAATGTTTTTAAAAAGCCACCAACATGAACAGCTGCGGCAAAAATTAACCTTAAACTAAGACGTACAAAAAACACTGTTCAGCAGTTCTGTCATCTATAACCTCTCAAAAAGGAGTTGAAATAGTCAATGTTTATTTTCCTGCACTGTATACGTCATGATACACATTATTTAAGAGGAGCAAGAATGCATTTTCCAGATGAAAACTTGTTGACCAAAGTGTCAATAACCTAGTGAAGTAACGATACGGCGTGAATAACAGGTAACGCGTTACGTTATAACGTTCAAATAAATAATATCAATTAATTTTCAGATTTGCTAATCAGGGGAGGTTGAAACCCGAATGAAAACCAAAAAACCAATTCGACGGGCGTGTTTTTTGTTAAGCAAACTCTCTCATAATTTGCAAATTACGAACAACGTCGTAAGCTTTAAAATGGTAAACGAAGCATAAGTCTCTCGTGACATTTTCTCATGACAGTCTCTCGCAACAAATATATTTGCAATAAATCTCCCTTTATCAACCACGTTTTAACTTCAAAGCTGTATTTTCTGGCTCACATCACTTTTACCCAGTGTCAATAATAGTGTCTATAACGGCATCTTGTTCCCTGTCAGGCACACAGAAGAGGACCTCAAGTTGTTAGGATTAATCAGTTTCTTCTTATTCGCTAACTTCTTGTTGAGCTGTTCCAACTTGGGTGCGAGCTTTTTGTTCCTCTTCACCACATCATCATCTACTTTAGACCTGGGTCTAATAACGTAGTCAGTGTTAGAAGGTACCGGCACTCTGGCTCGCATTATAAAGTTCTTATCACCAGGTTTATCTCCCTCCGGTTTAACCTCCTCTTCTGTCTTCCTCCTCCGCTTCCTCGACTTCACCATGTGTCTCAGATCCGCGTCTACCCTCTCTTCCCTAGACAGAGCACTGTAATCACTGTTCAGCCCAAATATTGGCCGAGCCCACTGGTGGATCAACTTCCTGGCCATTTCACGATTACTGAACCGCTCCTTGGTGTTCTTGTAGAGTCCCATAACGACCCTGCCTAACTTGCTCTGCTTCAACATGTCGGTGTTAATCTGGGGGTAGATCTGCAGGATCTTGAGAATCTCTGTTCTGATGGTGATGTGCGGGAGACTGTTGTCAGGGAGAGGAGACAACCATTCCGCCAGGACTGGCAGGATGCCACAATCTATAAAGGCGTTCTGAAGGTCGTGTTTGTTGAGCTGCTTGATGACGAGCTTGATGAGACCGAGCTTGTTGACGGCGGCTTGAGCTGCCTGATTTAACCGGCGGTCCTCCTCTGCTGCCTCCTTCATTTGAGAGATCATATACATTATCCTGTCGTCTGAGGAGTTGATGATGTCCGTCACCTGGAATGTTTTAATTCATTTTTTCGAATTTTACTTATTCATCAATTGATTAAACATTTAAATGGACGAACTTATAAAGAATGCAAGTCTTGGCCTTAAGAGGGGTCCTTTCACAACTCATCTTAAAAGCCCATTTATCTAATACATTGCTAAATATCTATAAGTATACCGAGAGTTACATCAAATTGCATTTAAAAACATATCGGATAAGCAATTATTACGTCTTTCTTCCTTCTGGACATGGATCTCTTTCTCTCTGCTTTCTTCTTCTCCATCATCATGTCAAAGTCGCTGACGAAGAGGTTGTCGTTGCGGTTGAGCATCTCTAACTCCTCGTCTGTGTCCACCTCGTCATCATCCCTCTTTTTCTGTCCCTCTTCTTCCGCTGAGGAAAGTTTTCGATTAAAAAATTATAGGATTGATGAATTATTGGTTAGCTAGTCGTCTTTAAGTTTATAATAATGAAATGAAGTGATTAGCATTCGATTATATTCTGTTCAACCGTGTTTGCAACAATTTGCAATATTATTTTCAATTACACGATAAAAAGTTTTGTCGCTTCGTTGATTCTAGTTTGAAATATTTATGATTAATGATTTTAGACCGAAACCGCAGAAACTTTAAGTATTTTATACTTGGGGCTGTCGCTGAAGTCAAATCAGTCTTTTCGTCCCCTTCATCTTCTCTCTTCTCCTCTTCGTCGTCAGAGTCACCAAAAATGTCGTTGATAAGCCCTGAAAATAGGTGAGTTTAATAACCGTCAAAGATATTTTGGATATGACGCCAAAAAACGCTAAGAGTAACATTACGTCACGATATTAGGCAACAAGTTACATGACGTCAGTACTCAGTACAACAATTTACCAATGTATGTGTTGATGTATGATAACACATAATTACAACTCCTAGCAATATGAGATTGTTACGAACCTGATCGCTGAACTTGTCCCTGAGCCTGTTCCTCGTTGTCACTCAGACCGTCAGGGAGATCGTAGAAGTCAGTCTCCTTAGCTGGAGTTTTCTCAGGGTGCGGTGTACTGCTGGGACCGGGCTTCTCTTCCTCCTCATCTGTAAGAAGAGATTAAGACTCAAAACGATAGATAGAATGGGTTTATCGTCATAGAATTGTTTGGAGTCAGCATTTTAATGTTTATAATTATGAGGCAACGTGGTGCTCAGTTTAAAAAATGCCTGCATCACCAATTTATTTCATATCAATTTGAACCACGATTCAAGTTCTCCACAAGCTCACCCTTAAAGTGTTCCTCGTCATCAAAAGTGGGCAGGTTAATGGGGGAGGGAGGTTCATAACTGATGTGAGGGGAGGTATTGCCGTTATATGAGGAGGGCTGGTCGGGTAAGGTGAGCTCAGGGGTGATGGGACGTTCATCTTCAGGTTCTATGTCGGGGGTGTTCGCGTGGAGGAGAGGGGAGGAGACCTCTTCAGGGCTGTCCATGTTTAGTTCGCTAGTTTGGATTGGGTGTTAGAAAATCAGGAACTTTAGAGGAATTAAGATTCATTGTTATTTCTTTTCTTCTTTCGAAAAATATCATAAACCAAATTTCTTTGATCCACCACATCGAAGCGATAATTTGATCCATTCTTGATAAATTTCACAGAAAAATTCCAAAATCAGGAGTGATGGAAAATAGAATATTTTCTATTAGATTAATGAGATTATTTTTGAATAAGGTCCCTCAGGTTTGTCAGCACTTCTTCATCAAACACAATCATTTATTTACAAAAAAAGTATAAACGGAACTCACAAAATTTGCACTAGATTAATTTGAATCTGAATCAAAATATTGACTCATTATCATGTCCATGGATTGTTTCTCTGAAGAGGGGACACCAAGAGATGTCCCAACACTTGGTAATATTTTCAAATCATTCTGTTGAACATGAACATCAGATGGCGAATTGTATGATTTACGTGACTCTATTTCATTATCCAAGGACATCAATGAGTCCATGACGTCCTTATCAAAACTTGAATCAGGCGAGATTTTTGGAGGTTTTTTCAGTTTCCCTGGTGATTTAGGTTTTGATTTATGAATATCTACTTCATTGTCTGCAAGTTTCAAAAACTGATTTACATGTTGATCATCCATTTGCGCTGAAGCAAAAGTGGACCTGTTATTTGTAACTGCTTTATTGAGATCCTTCCCCTTTATAATGATAATGTCATCTGATTCAGAAGAACTGGAGCTTATAATTAAAACTGGTTTCTTTTTTACAGACAGCTTTGACTTTTTAATGTGTTTTCTTTTCTTCCTACAACGAGATTGCTTTAAGTCTGTTTGTTGCAGACATGACTTCTCAGAGGGTTCATCACTACTCAGTATAGTATTAATTTTGGTTGATCTTGTGGAATTATTCCTTCTGTGAGTGTCATTCATTTTATCCTCTATTTCTTTTTCGATAGCCTCAATCTTTTCTACTGCTTTAGCTTCAACTAATAATATAGGCAAGCAATCGTCACTTTCACTTGAGACATCAACATCATCAAATGTCTCTTCACATTGTGGATGATAATCTTCTTTGTTATTCAAAAGATTGGAAGGGTCTGACTTAAAGTTAGTTGATTTAGCTGGGGTGATCGATTGGCTCTTTTTCCAAAACTTTTTGAGCTGTGCTGTAATTTGCTCATTAGATGAGTTTGGTGGGGTAGCTATTGGGAACACCTTATCAGCAGAAACCTGCTCAATGAAAGAACAACATTCACTATAGGAGCTATGCATTGAATGGGTAACATACCAGCTGTTGTTGACTCCAGCTTTTGCAGCAATCATTGTATCATTATTCATCATATTGTTGTGTAACTTCCATTGAATGGATGGGCGAAGTTTTAATGTTGTATCATTGCAGAGGGTACATTCCGAATTAGTTTGGTTAATATGTAACCAACTTTTATTTAGAGTTAGGTAAAACATTATGTCTTCAATATCTGAATACTGATTGTATAAATTCTCCAGGGCTTGAACATCACAATCAAAGTGGTTTGCTAGAGCAATGAATATGTTCTCCCACCCTGGTGTCACATCAATATGAACCACAACTGAATCATTCTTTTCTTTTTCCCGAAGAACAAACCTCACCACTGCATCTTCACTTTCTTTACGAGATGGGAAATCGTGAAATTTTGGTATCTTAGGAGAAAAGAATGTAGTGTCAATATAAAGGGATTTAAGTTGCACATTATTGATGGCACTATTGAGAGCAATATCTTTGGTGACACGGAAATCTCCGGTATATAAAGAAGCATCGCCATCTCTAGAAAATAAAAACATAACAGATCCAGGACAATGGTGAGCATCCATGATCGTGACATTGATGGTTTCTTTTGGAGAAACATGTAAAGTATAGCTTTCATCTTTTTCAATAAAAACGAACGAAGAAGCTAGGTAGTCCAGTTTAGATCTCCTTAGGACTAAGCTAGCTGTGACTTTAGTACAATATATCTTGACTTGTTTGTGCTGGAGTAGAGATTTAAACTCTTGGCTATCCAATCCTTTAATGTGATCAGTGTGGCAGTGACTCAAGAAGAAACAATAGCTTTTCAACCTGCTACCAACAAAGTAATCAACTGATATTTCTGGAAAACCCTCAATCTTTCCCTGAAACACATCGTTTGCCATGTCTTCTAAGATTAATTATACGTTTTAAAAGTCATCATCAGTAACAAAACTAAATTTGATTAGTTGTTATCAATAGAATCTTCCTTTTCAAGAAATATGCACGGTTTTTTTATGAGATAAACACTTTCGTAATTAAAATATTTGTCAACGTATAGAATTCGACCTCCGTAATCAGTTTTACAAATAACTAAATTTTATAAAAATGACACTAGCGTAATTGTTTAGAAATCCACTCCTTCTACTACCATCATAGTTTAAATAGTATGTGACATTTGACAACCCCTTATGTAAAGATTGCCCAATCTCCAGATATAATGATATCGAATTCCTTCATTCCAGTGGCAATATTTTCAAGTCACATACATTCTTTCATTCCAGTGGCAATATTTTCAAGTCCTCATTCAATGTAGATTAAATTCATTGTGGTATGCTTACTTTTTTGTCAGCTTTCTGTTATGTTGTTAAACTTCGAAACAGTTGACCAAAGTTAACTGTTGTCTTTGTTTTTACCTTATCGAACATTATAATTTGGTTTGACATTAAATGGTCTGATATAACGTGGGCACTAGGCGCTAAACCCTCCGATGCCCGATTAATTTTTAACCAAATAGAGTCCGACAAGGTAAGGATAGGTGTTGTTTTCTGCAGAAAATTGTAGCCTCCCTGTAGCCTTACAGTCGTTTACAGTCTTCCGCTGAGAAAGAGAGGCTCTTGTAAATTAAACTGTACACAGTTTTCTTCGATTAATATAAGCTCGTGAATGCAGTTCAATACAGTACGTGCATTTGTTTTCGAACCGTTACCGTTCCACTTCAATGAACATTTTAATACACTGGTTAACCCTAGCTTAGGTTGTGTACGATCATGGGTGTCTCCAAAAACTGGTTATCATTTGTCAGCATGACAAAAGCCAAAGCTGACTCGCACTCCAAAGTGGCAGAATATTGGGACAGGACACACAACATACTCAGCATATCTATGATAGCGCTCCCCTCGATAACGACCCTCTCAACCCTTCTTCCTATCACCCATTACGTAGCAGCCACTTTGGGAATCATCACGACGTTAGTATCTGCTGTTGCTGGATTTGTGGCACCCAGCACCCGTAGACAGCGGCATATGGAGTCTAGCAAAGGTTTCAGATCACTGTTGTTGAGGATGGTCAGGGTTGAAACTGAAAGAGAATACGAGGAACTGTGGAGGGAATACAACAAAGAAATGACTTTTGAACCCTTCCTACCCAACAATTACAAAGTCAAGGATAACGCAGACTTAAACTTCGCTATGACACCTGAGTTTGTTTTGATTGTGAAACAGAAAGAAAATGGAGTCGAGGATATGATGGAAGAGTTTGAGGGATCAGAAGAATCGTTTACGTTCCACTTCAATGAACCTGAGTTTGCTTTGATTGTGAAACAGAAAGAAAATGGAGTCGAGGATATGATTGAAGAGTTTGAGGGATCAGAAGACTTCGCTATGGCACCTGAGTTTGCTTTGATTGTGAAACAGAAAGAAAATGGAGTCAAGGAGATGATTGAAGAGTTGGAGGGATCAGAGGCTGGAGATGAGGGTGAACGTGAGGTAGGACCTGGTACCATCCTGCCCGAACCTCAACATGAGCCATCTGAGGCAGATAACCAATCCGTGAGTGAAGAAGATGCAAGAGACGACACAAGGTTGCTTCACCAAGTGTAAGTCAGGACTTGTAATTTGTTGGACTTTAAGGCATTAACGGTAATAGGTACTCATTTCTGAGCACGTGATCGAAAAAAAAATGTTTGTTATTTTGAGGATAAAGTTAGGGGTCGTTCACTGTATTATTACGTAATCAATTTATTGGCCATCGAAACCGGATATTGAAACCGGAACCTTTAAAGTCAAGTAATGTGTGCGAGAAGTTTGTTTATTAGGTGTAAGACACCCAATTTGTACGAAATAAAATTCAGATTAATCATTTATTATACTGTACTTTAGATGGCTAGTTTAACTGTGATGTATTTTAAAATTTAACTCTTTAAAAAGAGTTTAGGGACTTTCGGGAAATTAGTAGCTTTAAGGGAAGAGCAAGTGAAACAAAATGTAGCGTAGGCTAATAAAGCAAAACTAGCATCTGTCTCTAAAAATCTATTTTACAGTATCAAAAGACGAACGAAATTATTTTACACTACTGATTAACTGTATAATCATTAATCACTAATTAAAAATTCTAGAAAAAAACAAATGGGCCAACTACGACCACAGCACTCAAGGTAATATAATACATATTATAACTCTTATTTAATTGTGACATACTATAGTCCAATAATACAAAATGTTTATGCTCTAAAACAGCGTGACCTTCACTCTCCATTATACAATGATCACTTACAATTTCACAGGTTTAAATTAATCTAACCAATATCATTGTGGTTTTAATAATATAGTCTAGTTCATATCTATTATCTAACATGAACACATAAATTTATAGGGCCTTTTACATTTTATTATCATTTTATTTGACATAGAAAACTGATTACGAAACAACTTTAATCATATAATTCCAAAATATAGACATCATCTAAATCTTTCTGTACTGATCGTTGTACATTATCTAACAAACCCAATACATATATGAATAATAAATAATTAACATCCAATATTTACGGAAAGCAGATAGGTATTATAACGCCAACTGTTTAAACCTCATGAAAAAATTCTGAGTATAACCGTTCCACACTTTATGCAACCGAGACCCGGCGACTGTTTAATCAAAATGCAATTACAAAAAATTCTGTTGGTAACTTAATATAAAACTTCTCCAAAATTCATCAAAAGACAACGATATAATTTCATTTAAAGAAAAAAGTGAATATACTTCGTAAAACTTTGTTATATTATACGTAATTACGTTATAAGCTTTAGATATCATATTATTATATAAAACACAAGGATACATCAATTAACTGAATACTCATTACTCATACAAACTTTTATTAATTTTTCCATAAATTAGGAATAACAACAGGAAGTTCAAAAGTGCAAAATGGAACGACTTTAAGTTTTACTGTATTTCCTTAATTTTCAATGTTGAATGTTAGCGATATGATTCAATTAGGGTCAGGGGCAGTACTGTCAATTTATCTGAAAATTTTGCAACTTGAACTGCTTATAAAAGTAAAGTAACATGTGGAAAAATTCGATCCATTCTGCCGTTTAATGAAATATTACTCTTAGAAAATAAATATTAGGTTATCAATCTCATTTTACTTAATTTCTGGAAACGATTAATTACTTTAATATGTTAACAGATCAGTTACAATCGTAAAAATACAACGTTGGTTCATTTCAATTATCAATATTATTTAAATTATTCTAGTCGTAGACGATACTGTTAAGTAGACTCAGTAAGGCCTTTAATTAATTTGAGGTTAATGTATACTCGATTTATAACAAAACAGCATATTACAAACAAGTATATATGCAACATTAAACCATATCTATACCCCAAACATTATTGTTCTACAGCCAAATATTAAAGGACCAGTTAACTGAAAAATTTGTAGTCTCCAATTTGGCTAAGATTTAAATCAGCTGTGACAAACTGGTAAAGAATCGTATCGCCGAAAGAACCAACTCTCTAGCGTACCTGTAACGCGTGTTATTGCAATAATAAGCTGTGGCCTCGTGACGTCACGAAGTCCCTCAGTGCGCGCTGGCATAGCGTAATACGTTGCAAATCTTTATCGTTGTCATTAAAACACGTGTTACTCACTCAAATTTTAGAATTATGACTATTACCCGAGTTCTCCAAAATCCTTATAGTTTTGGCTATCATCCTAACTAAAGGAATAGCTGATTGGATGTACAGTGCTCACGTCATGATTTTAAACAGTGATATAGGTTCTTGGACAGAGGCGGGTGAATGTACGGTTAGAAAGTTACTGCTATTACAGTTCTTATGTCATATGTGATAATTTTGGATTGTTTTCATTGCTTAATTACACAAGCAGGGAGACTGTACCGATTATTTTTCCCCAGTCGATGAAACTCTAACGAATTTAAAAGGATCTAGATAAGTAGGAGCTAGTTTGTTCAATTCCGAGAGCAATTATATTTATAGCATAGCGAAATTTCTAACTTTAATCTGCATGTGTCAGCCAGTACAGGAGACAAGAAGTCTGGCTACTTTACGGCCGTTCCTCTGGGACCATTAGTAGAAGTAGCTTCTATCAGAACAGTGCCGTGGGAACAGAATTCCCGCCAAAATACCCGGTCTACCAAATAGTAATAGTGATTGGAGTGTACGGTGTGCGGTGTGTTACAGTTTTGAATTATACTTCGGCTTACCTAGTTGTTATCCTAATTGCATTATCATCGGTACATAACATAAATAAACTACTGGTAAGTTTAAATACCAAGTGCAAACGTGTTCAGTCAATCGACCCACTGAACAAATATAGAATTTCCAAGATCCTATTATTCTTTGGCCATATATTAATACGGCACGATCGATTGTTAGATGGTTAAACGACCAACGTTAATCTATACAATTCTAAAACTATGAGCTAGCACTTTAATCTAAAAATACACTTTTTACATTACTTCTGATTTTTACATTTCACGTAAAACATTGTCGCCACAGGTTGATCATGGACACTAACAGCTTAATTTGAGATAAATGACTATGAGTTTCTCTAAAGTTAACTCTAAAGTTGTGCAATCCAGTCATTTATGGACATTTATGGAAATGAACCTGCAAATGTTCAGATACTCACGAAACTTTGCACAGACCTTCCCGAAGGTATGAATAAACGATTTTCGTTTGGAGACATTTTTTTGACAGTGGAGAAAACCCAGGAGGGCCACGCCCATATTGACCCAATAACATAACCGACCCCTTGCTTCTGAAGGTCGTAGAGACTTCAAAATAGGCTTAAACGAAGCCACATATGCATGTTTATATAGGAGTTATTGAGCAACACATGGCCTAAAATCCTTACTTTTCGAGAAATTCGCCAAAAACCATTTTGGGCGTGGTGCTGAGCCCATTTTCGATAGGATCGTGATAGAGTCTTTAGACAGGGTGCAAAAGAACTGCAATTAGCATATTAATATATGACTTACGAACAAACATATGCCTTAAAGTGCTTACTTTTTCAGTTATTGGCGAAAAACTGATTTTCGGTTCCAGAAATCATGCAAAACTATGGGTATCTGGTAAATTGGGCTATGAAGGCCCTAAAGGTTTTTGAATGTGTGCAAATTGTGCAGAATGGCCATGTTTATATACAACTTATGAAGCAACATGTACCCTAAATTACTTACTTTTCGGGTTATTCGGGGAAAAACATTGTATTATGTCCATTTTCTACCTGTAAAATACATTCTCACGAGCTCCTCTGCGCGCGCAAGGGACTTCGTGACGTCATCGCCAAAATAATACAAACGCTATTTACACGCGTTAGAGAGCAGTTAGAGATTTAGGAATTTCGACTCGTTGCTTAGTTTGCTATTTGTCACAATCTGTCAAAATATGAGTATAACTTTTTTTTCAGTTAACTGGTCCTTTAAGTTCTGAAGTTATGATTTCATAACTTAAATAAATCTATGTTTACAATTTCATAACTTTTATAAGTTCTATGTTTAGTTTCACAATTCCATAACTTTTAAGTTCTATGATTATAATTATCATCACTGTTGTTTGATCGCATCAAGAGGTTTTGGGACGCTCAGGCCGCTGTCCTTGAGGCAGAATAACACTGAGAATAAACACAACACCAACTGTTATCTGTGGAACCCAGTACATACTTGAGTAGAGCTGAAAAAAGGTATTTGTTTAGAACGGAAATACATTTATCTGATTCACTATGGACGTTCCCTTCACAAAGTAAACGTTCGCCTTTAGATTGAACAGAGAAACACTAAATATTTTGCCTGTCACGTGACAGCGAATAATCATTCAGCTTCTACCATTGAACAATCAAAACCTACGAAAGTCTCTGTACTTACGGCTAATATTTTGTCGAGGTCGAGCATGTAGAATGGGGCGAGTATCATACAGGATATCACACGGACACAGATCCAACTAACAATCCTGTAAACCTGAGGACGAGTAACAAATGTTATCTGAAGGCTTCTGAAGAAAACAACCTGTCGTATCACTTATACAATGTTTACAGAAACCCCCTCCAGAACTTAAGGGAACATCTTGAGAAACTTGAGATCAAAATCTGCCATTAAAGATTAGATAGGACTATATTGTAGATAAATAGACTCCATGTACCATTTCAAGATTAGGGCTATTTTCCCTTGCTTTGGCAGTAAGATTGCCCACTTTTTGTTGTAGTTTTATCATAGGGGGAGTACTAAGGAATGTCAAGTAGTACCCTGGCCTGATACCGTGCCAGAACGCACTCAGCCCAAACACAAATTCTGTTCTAACTGAAAGAGAGTGGAGATTTTAGAAGATAATTTTGATTAAGACCGGTGACATGATTTCCGACTAAGGTAAGAACATACGAATTAGCAATTTACTGGTTGATGTGGATGACAGAGTTATTATCACCATCCAGTTATTATTATCTCTGGGACTTAGAGCATCAAGAAGGATATAAATCACAAACCTGCTTTTGGAAGATGAGTGGTATCGTAGACGTATGTTTTCATCCAATACTGGACACTCTTATTCCAAGCTCGGACACATTGAGATAGCTCCCAGTTTATCTCCGTCTGAGAGGAAAACAAATACATTTTAATTTAATTATATATCTGAGCCAGGAGGTGACCGGGACATGATTTTAGGCCTGACCGGGACCGGGACCGGGACCGGGATACAAAATGTGACTTGACCGGGACCGGGACCGGGACCGGGACTGAGATTATCAATTTACCGTGACCGGGACCGGGACCGGGACCAATAATTTCTGGGATTTCTATCTTACCGGGACCGGGACAGGGACCGGGACCAACAATCCAATTTTACCGGGATGACCGGGATGACCGGGATTTGACCGGGATGACCGGGATTTGACCGGGATGACCGGGATTTGACCGGGATGACCGGGATGACCGGGATGACCGGGACCAAAACTGGTATTCTCATATTGAAAGCTGCAACTTTCATTTACATTATAATTGAAAAAAACCGTCAAAATGGGGCATGGGCCTAATGTACTACACCAATAATGTTCATGTACTGATTACTCAAGTTCACCCTCATTCCTCATTCCTCGATCAATGATCCCTCAAATTATTCAACAGTTTCATTCTCCAATTCCAATTGACAATTGGGCGTAGCCCGAGTTGAAAACTTGATGTTAGTTTGCACTTATGAGTTATGTAACGATATTAGTTACCTAAACTAGTAAACTTGTTTAGCAATTTTAAACATTGTTTTATTTGGCTCAGAGGTTGTTTAAAGATGAAATTCACAATGAATGAAAGTAAAAACTTAAAAGCACAGTGAATGAAATTATGTAAAAGATCCCGGTCAAAATCCCGGCAAATTTGAGTGATTGACCGGGACCGGGACCGGGACTGGGACCAAGAATCCTGAATTAACCGGGACCGGGACCGGGACCGGGATCATAAATCAGCATTTGACCGGGACCGGGACCGCGACCGGGATGAAAAATTTGACTTCACCCGGTTGACCGGGACCGGGACCGCGACCGGGATAGCTGAAAATTGCCAATCCCGGTACCGGGATTCCCGGTACCGGGAATCCCGGTCACCTCCTGATCTGAGCTTGTTCTGCATTCTACAATCTATGACCAGACAGCTTCAAATTTAGGCTCTATTCGATTTAATAATTTTGTTTCGCAATGTGCCCAAAAATTTCAAAATAATTCATAAGTTTTAGAAGGAATCTGATACTCACGTTATAAATATCAATGTTAATTATAGAGCTGTAGTCCACTGTTCCATCTTCCTTCTCAACTGTTCCCAGATTACAGGCTATACAGATACCCTCTGCTATTATCCAACCACCGAAAAACTTAACTCTGAAACGATTAGTAGAGGGGCGAACTTATTATTCACAAGAATATTACTATCTGATCTCAAAACAAATCATGAACCACCCTTCTCAAAGTATTTATTTTCAGTTACTATTTAACATTATAAGATACGTTTTACAGATTCCCAAACATGTGTAAGAAACATTAACTCGAACAATGCTAACTTGAAAGTCCAAAAGCCAGCGAGCAGGTAAAGGAACTTGTAGAGGAAGGACTGGGTGAGGAACTCTTCATCCATAGTGTAGTCAAGAGAGTTGTAAGTAGTCTGCAACATGTGGAGAGGTAGGATGACTAACATGGGCGTCATGTGAGACAGCGCTAGCTTGGAGGATCTGATCAGAGTCTTGGAGTGTAGCTGAAACAGTTCACATTGTTACCACACAGTACAAGTAACCAGGAAATGGTTACACCAGAAGTAGCAACATACACTCCTTTCCAATTATAACTCTTCTTAGTTATCCAAACTTCAAATACGTCAAATATCCTGAATATTTGAGTAATAATACCATCTTGTTATAAGTGCTGTACGTGAAGAAAGGACCGGTCCAGTAGCCAACAAAACAGAAGCAATACCCCACATAGTCGAACAGTGAGGAAAGCTGGGAGGGGGAGTTGTCCTTGTTGTCCCCTTCTAGTATACGGTCTAGTTGGTAGTCGTAACCGTAACTACATACCTGTCATAGTGGGGATATATTACAGTAGATGCAATGAGGTGAACTTATCTTAGGAACAACCAGGGAGAACATTAGAGCCGGGGTAACCTTAAGGCGATCATCGCCTCCCGTACAATATTATACATTCTGTTGACATGATTAATCTTTTTTCCTTATCGAAATTTGTTACTGAAAGAAGTCAATGGTTATTAAAAACTTACCCTGAGAACCATGAGGAGTAGAACAGAGTCCACAAGGTAAGATGGTACGAACAGATCAGAGAAGACAATAAGCTTGAAGATAAGGAGGAGGGAGAAAGATACGTGGAATATCACCCTGACAGAAAGAGGATTGTCAGTGCAATGATCATTTAAATCGTTATTCAAACGGTTTGTTTAACTGTTCACTAGAATAACTGGACATTTTAGAAGAGAAAAAGAAACGATTTATGTATCAAAAGTTAAACAAAAAATACCAGACAAAGTTCAAACCACTGTTACAGTAATGTGACGGAACTAACCTGCCGGTAACATTTTTAGGTACAACCCTAAGGGCGAGATAAGAAAAGAGACAAAGCAAGATGGGTAGCAAAGTGTCGCCAGCACATATCAAATAGGTCTGAATTAGGGCTATCGTTATACTGAATACCTGGCAAAGTGAGCGGTAAGATCTGCAATTAATGTTTAGTTTAAGTTGGAATTTGATTTAGGAGATGACATTGCTTTTGACTAAACGTCTTTAATTGATACTCTGTTTGATAGCCAGAGAGATGGGGTAGCTTTAAAAAGCAAGGATATTCTACCTGTTTGATAGTAGGACTAGGTATGTACTTCAACAGTAAGGCAGCAGGGAAGGACGTGCCCAGCAAGAACAGGAAACTAACGCTATCGCCTTGGAGCTGAAACACAGCGGTCATAACACAGCGGTCATAACAAAGCGGTCATAAAACCAGCAGATCATTTAACATAGCGGTCACAACACAACGGTCACAACAAAGCGGTCATAAAAACAGCAGGTCATTTAACATAGCGGTCATAAAACAACGGTCACAACACAACGGCCATAAAAACAGCAGATCATTTAACATAGCGATCATAACAAAGCGGCCATAAAAACAGCAGGTCATTTAACATAAAATTATTAATCAGTAGTCGAAACCACAGCTGAAGTGAAGATTGCATAAATCAACAGCATGAGCAGTCATTAAACATATAACAGAAGTAGAAATAGTAGAAATACTGGTGGATGGTAATGTTATAATGCGACTGATCGTCAACAACATGACAACTCACGATCTCACAGAATCGGGTGTAATATTCCCCAACCAGCCCCAGCGACATCCCTACAAAATGAACTAGAACTGTTATTTCAGCAAATATAGGAATAATATCAGCTTGATTAACAATGATTTCAAGATATGGGTAAATAAGGATTAAAAAGTCGCTCACAGTGCCCTCACAATAAAACTCAATAAGCTATTATATACGGTAAAATATTATATCAACTAATGCCAAATAACTCTACAGCATCACGACTTACGAAGTTGGCTTACGTTTATGTCAGAGTGTTTGGATTTAGCAAACAGTCAGTTCTTCATTAATTCAATACATAAAAATCTTGATCATAATTTAAGAACGTAATACAGAATATAAATAATGGTCAGTCAAAGATTTTCAGTCTTAAATTCGATCATTACAAGTCAAATTTTGTCATTTTCTTTGTAGAGGCACGCTAGAGACAGTAGTTTTATCAACTTTTAACACTAAACAACGAAATAATGGCTGAATACTGATGGATACGGTTGATCTACATTTTGATAATTGAGGCATACCAAAGACACTTTATATAGATCGTACACATTCTAACTGAACTTTTAAAAGTGAGTATAAGTTAAGAACGTTTACTGCTATTCACAGAGCAATAAGAGTTATAGCCCTAAAAAAGATAGCTCTAAAAATGATAGCCCTAAAAATGATAGCCCTAAAAATGATAGCCCTAAAAATGATAGCCCTAAAAATGATAGCCCTAAAAATGATAGCCCTAAAAATGATAGCCCTAAAAATCAAAGCTTCAGTGCACAGAGTCGCTATGAAATTAATCCAATGGTTTAACCAAAAAAAATCGTCAAAAATTGTCATGAGTCAAAACAGTCTACCTTTTCAATTTCGCGAGTCAAAAAACGGTAGTATCAATTATGCATTAACTAACTTATACAGTTCATTGAACTAACTCTACTATTGAAAACAAACTAATGAATGATTATGTGCAGTCATTAACTGTCAGTTACAATCCACCACCTTAATTTCGATCAATTTAATGGGCAATAAGAATAACTGAGTTGTGCCACATTTTCGTCTTCTGTTTCAAACTTTAATGTTTTCGATGTTTTCTTTCAGATCCTCATAAAGATATTCTTTTTGTGATATCTGATATTTGATGTCTTCTTGCGTCTGATACCTCTGAAAGTAAAATATTTGTCCAGACCTTTTTAATGGTAAAATAATTAATTATATCAAAATGTTATATTATTTCACTAATAATTCAGATTTCAGAGGCTATTTTGGGGATTTTGGCAACAACCAGCTACAGGAGAGTAACATTAATCTAATTTAACACTTTCAACACTTGACACCTAATCGTTTAACTGGTTAATGACTTATTTTCTACCTTGATTTGGGGCTGGAGCAGGTGGGGTATAAATACTTTTAGCAGGCTCCTTTTCAGCTTCAAAAGGTGCAGGATTGTCGAGGGACGAGTTGGATTTAAAATACAGGCACGAATTCTTAGTTAAAGAAACCCGGACCCTTTTTCGAGAATTTGAAACGTTTTCTGAAACGTTTTCTGGGCTAGGGCTCCTGTCCCTTTTTAAATCAGGATTGTTTTTCCGCATGTAACTCTGTAATTGGAATGGATATTAAATCGGGATTGAGAGTAAAATTTTAAGCTGCAATATGAGTATGTGGAACTAATGCAGTAGAGGCAATATAATTTCCATCTAGTAACTCGACAAATAATAGTGCTCTTAATGATCAATATAAATTCTTATACAATTCTGATAAGGCCAAGGTGGGAAGATTTTAAGGCAAGCATCACTATCAATATATTATTATGATGGGTCGAATTAGACAAGATTACCAAGATGACAAATATAAATTGTAGTGCCAATATGCTGCCATTTAACACACTACTATTGCATTGATACAGTTGGTAAAATAATATATAATGTTGTGACACCTTGGAACAATCTATTTTTAATGTTTCTCCTGTAGCTGTACCACCAAGGTTTTAAAAAACTGATAATTAAACTGCTTCAAGTAGTACTCACAATATAATTGTCCTTGCGCTCAGCCTCATACTGAGAATATTCAAACAATGTGAGGGAGGATTGGAGGTCCTTGATGTTACCATACTTTGCATATTTGCAGTCTTTGGTTCGTCTCAAATGCTCCTCCCTGGAAAAGTTGCTCTATCATGTCAATCTAATCAATCGAAGGAATATGAAGATAATATACAGAATCAATTATTTGTGCTCAGTATTTGTTACAAATTGTATCATCAGAGTAGTCCTTGTGATGATACTCAGCCATACTTACACAGGATCATCGCCCTCCTCAAAACCACATATAGTGCGACAGCAGTAGAAACATCTCGCTGTGTCCTTTTCGACAGGATCAGGAACGTGATAAAAACCAGCAGCTGTCATCTGAAAAATAGCCAGCTATCACTTCAATATTTAAAATTGTGTAATGTATCTGAAATTTGGCTTACCCAAAGACTTGGTAACAAGCTGACATTTCATGGCAACTGTTTACTTTGCATTGGTTTCCAAAGTAAAAAGTTCAGCCAACTATTCAAAATAAATTACATCTGCATGATAAAGGTTGTTACAACTTATCATGTTTTTCACTACTGAGAAAAGACAATTTTTGAGAAGAAACAATTTTATTATTTTTCACCAATTCAATACACAATCGATTAATAAATATATATATCCGAATAAACTTGATTTCAAAATAAGTGATACAAGTATGCTAGAGTATGCTAGTAACTACTCTACTCACTTTTGTTATAGTACAGGATGATTTGCTGTTAAAAGGCCACTTCTTGTAAGATTTCTTTCTGTTTACAGGGTTCCACATTGACAGATGGTGATCGATGCTTGTCTCATCCATGACTACATATCAGTTTATTAATAAAATTAGAAATAAACTGCAAACACTCACATTATTCAAGTGTTAAAAACTATAAGCTACATTGAAGTGGACTTAAAATTTTTTTTAAAAATTGTTATTTAATTCATTGCATATCTTTTCTGACTTGTTTAAGCAACAGAACATTTATGATTACAAAATCGAATCGAAAATAAAATTGAATTAGAAAACTCTATCTAAAAGGATGTGTAATTCTTGTATGTAATATTAATAAAGACTCTTCAAGAAGTATACGAAATGAATGACAATGAGAAGAAGGATGAGTACTTGGAGAGAGTGTTGAATGTGGAGAAGGCTACCTTCACCCCGGCTGTATGTCTCACATTTGGAGGAATGTCTAAAGAGTACAAGCGGTTTGACAACAGACTAGCGGACCTCATAGCCAGAAAGAAGAAGGAGACCTTTTGTTGCTGTATAAAAACAACATTAATTTATTATTATTATTTATTATGTTGTACGGCTTGTCAGGACGAGGATAATATTAGCAATGTTGAGAACAACTCTTATTGCTCTACGTGGGCACAGAATAAACAATACGGACAACAAATATGAGACCCTTCTATCAAAAGTCTTATACAACCTCATCCCTGCCCCTAAGATGGCCATGGAGTAGATCATGTGTTTTAAAAGTTGCGTGTATATATTTGATTGTTTATAGTTCGAATTTAGCTTTCATTTTAGACTTCACGTCTCCCGCAGTTTCATTTCGGGAGACGTGAAGTCTAAAATGAAAGCTAAATTCGTCTCAAACTCACGCTCAGCCTTAAAATCTATTTGTTTATAGTTCAAAAATATTGGTAACAATGTGCCATTTCCGTTACCTATGTATTGTGCTCTGACAATTGCAACGCTTGATTTGATTGTGCTCTGCCAATTGCATCACTTAATTTGATTGAATACCTTTTGCCTTACGAGACATATTTAAATGATACGAAAGTCGGTGTTTTTTTGGTAAAAACACCATATTTTCGGACTACCAAAAGTTATATCACCATCATTGTTTTCCCAAAATTATTTTTCACGTATTTTCCTTAATTTGCTCAGTTTTTCATAATTTTTGGACCATCGATTTTTTTGAAAACGTAAAATTTTTTTATTACCAAGTTTATTATATTTTACTGGGCCGCGCTCAGCCTGTCATTCCACCAAATCTTTATTGTTATGTTAATGAACATAATAGCCTGGGGTCCTCAGGTAAATTATATTTTTTGAAATTATTAGTGAATTTCGTCTTGGTGCTGTATTTAATCATTGGTGATGCGGCGCGCGGTTAATGTAGCCAAAAACAGCTAACTTAAACTGTAACATAATGTTTGATTACTGTCCGGCTGCGCTCAGCCTGTCATTCCGCCAAATCTTTATAACATAATAGCTTGGGGTCCCCAGGTAAAATGTTTGATAATTATGCACGATGGGACCAGGTTGCGTAGAGCCGCGCTATCCACAGTAGCTGTTTGGCGCTGCTAGTCGCGCTGGCGTCGGCGCGTTACGTGTACGTAATATGATATTTTGACGTCAGTTTACAAATGCGACGTTATTGTTGCGCGCGCGACCATACGCTATCCGAATTTATGTTTTCAATATAAACAGAACTAAAAAAAACAAATATGCAAATTTTGAATCAGGAAATTATTAAGTAATTGATGATTCAAATTTATTCTAATATATCTTGTATAAATATTTCATTATTATGAGTATAAAGATAGCCTGTCGAATCGAGCGCTACTCCTTATTTACTAGTATTGATTACTTATGAACCAGAAAACCGCCTACTAGCTACTTAATTATCTTATTTTTTACTGTTCAAGCAAGTTGCATTGTTACCTGATTTTGAAGCTCTAGCTGATTTGAATTTGATATCGTTTCCAAGTCTCGGAAATGCCATGCTATCTGTATTACATGATATGCCTGCACGAGCTTTTGTTAATACACATATTTAAACTACATTGCCTAATCTTTGTTGTTAATCTCCAAATGAGACTTCGTTGAATCCTTGATATGATAATTTCAAAGATATTCAAATAAATGATATCATATTGATGGCTGTACATTACAGGTCCATGAATTCTCACATACTGTCTCCAGGACAAAGCACACATGTTTATCTAGTTTGTCTATTTGAGGCTATACTGTGAGTTCTCATGACTTGTGCCAAATCCGTTAAAGTGCTTGATTTCTGAAACTTAGCATTATGACCATTTAATCTAATGTCCTATCGTATGGATTCCAGCCTGCCATGCAGGTTTCCCTTAATCTACTGCTATTAACATTTCTCACAAGCACGCAACCTGAATTTCTTCCATAGACCTCTTTTGAAGATTTCTTGCCTGAAGGAGCCCCCCACCAAAAATGCTCCCCCTGTTGGCGCCCCTCCCCTTTTGGCCCCCTTCCCTAAAATTGAACAAATTAGGGAATTTTAGAGGATATGCCAGTAAAATCTCCAAAAAAGTGTGTTTCAATGGGGCCCTTCGTTATATATCATATACGCCACTGCAATTAATTATTCAAATCTATTCAATTTAGGTGAATGAATGAATCTACTGGTTAGTGGTGAAGACACAGTTTTAACACTTTATTTGGAGTGATCCAATCTAAGCCAGGCAAGTGAGGGAAATGATTTTATTTTAAACCTGCTACACCAAGTTGATACTTTCGTGCGAGCAGCTAGGCTCCGATGGTTTGGCCATGTGGTGAGGATGCCAGAAGAAAGAATACCCTACTATCTTTTGCACTGGATCCCAAAGCATGGCAAAAGGTCAAGAGGTAGACCTCGGAAAAACTGGTTGTCATGTGTCCGGGAGGAAGCAGCAATCTTCACACTTCACAGTTGTCGATAACATCACGATAGAAGATGCAGAACAACAAGCAACAAACAGGGTACATTGGAGCGGCCTAATACATCGGTGAAAGGAGTGACTATGTGGTGCAGGCCACTCCAACGACTAGGAGGAGACCTTTTCAAGTACAAGTAAGTACACCAAGTTGGAAGTGCAGTATCCAATATTTTTTGTTTAACTGAACCTACCATTATTAAAGACCAAGTATAGTAGGTAGTTTAAATTAAGTACACAACAGTTTGGTTAGGAATAAGGTTAAGATTCCTACTAGTCATAATGACATAAGCCATAATTTCTATATACAACTCCTACCCTTGTATCATTTCTCTCTCTTATCCCAAAAGTCGTCTACTATAATCATACCTTAGTTCCCAAAAATTTGTGTGCCATTATATTGAGCACAATTTATTTGAGCCCGAAAAATTTGGGCAGAAAATTTGAACTCATTTGGGCGACCGAAAATTTGGGCACAAATTCTTCGAAAAATGATTACCGATTTTCCATTAAAATTTCAGTTAGATATTTGCCTTAGTTCATTATTATTCCTTGTTATTCCAGTCATTTTGCTTTCAATTTTAAGCATGTAGGTGGTAGTCTGAGTTGTTTCACATTATGAAAACATAGTGTGTCAGCTCAATAGAGGAGTTTGATCAGACTATGTGAAATTGATACCCGCTTGACAGTGATCCGTGAAGTACACGCTCGTTGGATCAACGAACTTTTTGTATATTTAAAAGGAAGGCCAGATGACATAAAGGAAAGGCTTTGAGAAGTCGGGTATAACTGATGCTTGTAGATCAGACTTTACGGTGGATGATAATCCATTTGCAGATCTTGTTTAAATCTCTAGCTATCCGTACCTCTAGCCATTTGTTTTATTAGTAGATGTTAGCTATTCCAGTTATTTCTATTCATTTAAAATATAAGCCTTTTTACTAACATTCAAAACCTTATTAAGAATGTTAAAGTTTTAGATCAAAACGAAATGTGTATGTCCGACCACTTTTGTATCACATTTGACATTGATATTAAGACCAAGTATATTAAGCAGCCTAAAAGAAAGATCTTTAATTATAGTAAAGGTAATTTTAGGGGCCTGAATTCTGAGTTATTTAGCATCGATTGGGATAGTATATTTGAGTGTAATGATCCTTATCTTGCCTGGAGTCGATTCAGAGGAGTTCTCGGTGCAGCCTGTGACCGATGGATCCCTAAAAAGACCATTAAGTCTCAGTTCCAGCCCCCATGGTATGACTCCGAATGTGATCGTCTCCTACGAAATAAGGAGAAATGGAGAATAAGGCATAAGGGGAGCAACTCTGAGTCTCATAAACAAAAGTTTCGTGCATTTCGCACAAAATTTAAAAATTTGATGGACGAAAGAATGAGACTCAGTGTTGAGGATGACTCCGATGATGCTCTTATCTCCAAGAAGTTCTGGACCTACGTTAAATCTAAATCAAAGTCAACCAGGATCCCGGAAACCGTCAAATATCATAATCGCTTTCGAAACAATCCATCTGATCAAGCTGCCCTTTTTAACGAATATTTTTATGAGCAGTTTTCTCAAGAGAGCGATTATGGCATTGACATAGATTTTCGTGATGATTGTTTTTCAAGTCTTGTGTTTAGTAGAGAAGATGTTCTGTTGATTCTTAAAAAGTTAAATCCTAACAAGGCCCCTGGCCCAGATGGGATCCATGGGAGAGTCCTCAAAAACTGTGCCCAAAGCCTTGCATACCCACTTAGTGTTTTATTTAACCTGTCTTTCTCGAGCGGATGCATACCCCCTGATTGGAAGCTGGCACTTGTAGTACCAGTGCACAAAAAGGGCGATAAGTCTTCGGTTGAGAACTACAGGCCTATCTCGTTAACATCTCTTGTAATGAAAGTCTTTGAAAGGTGCATAAAGACTGCATTATACGCTGCATGTTCTGATCTGTTGGATGACCGCCAACACGGTTTTGTTAATGAACGTTCATGCACAACCCAAATGATACCTTTCACGGACAATCTTGCACTTGCATTGAATAACAGGTCCAGGACTGATATAATATATTTTGATTTTGCGAAAGCTTTTGATAGCGTTTCGCATGACCTCATTTTAAGTAAATTAAAGAATATTTTTAATGTCGATGGACTAATGCTTAAATTTATTAAATCCTATCTTGAGGGGCGACAACAACAAGTAGTGATAGGAGGCCAAACGTCTTCTTCTCTACCAGTTCGGTCTGGTGTCCCTCAAGGTTCTATACTTGGCCCTTTATTGTTTGTAATATTTATAAATGACATGTTCTCCTGTGTCTCTGAAGGCACCAATATCGCCCTTTATGCAGATGACACTAAAATTTGGAGGGAGATTCTTGGTTACCCTGACCATCACATAATCCAAAATGACATCAATAGATTATATGATTGGTCAGTGAGAAATCGAATGAAGTTCCACCCACAAAAGTGCAAAGCCCTCTCTGTGTCCCTGCAAAGAAACGTGCTGGATAACTTGCCATTCAATACCTTCTTTTATAAACTTTCTGGAAGTGATATTGACTTTGTGCCCTCTCAGTCAGATTTAGGAGTCGCAATTAACTCCAGGTTTAATTGGGGTGCACAATGTAAAGCGCTTGTTTCCAAAGCTACCTCTAGACTTGGACTACTTAAGAGAACATGTCATTTCACTACTGATAAAAGGCAGAAAAGATCGTTCTATTTAGCGTTAATTAGGTCTATATTTGAACATTGTTCTGTCATATGGTCCCCTCAATGTGCAACTCATCTTCAACAGTTTGTTGCTATCCAAAAGAGGGCTATTAAATGGATCAATGGTGAACCTTACTCCAGTTATAATGACGATAAACTTGCTACAGAGCAAAAGAAACTAAATATTCTCCCTGTTAAACAGAAGTTTATTTATAACGATCTTATGACCTTCTATAAAATAGTGAATAGCATAATTCCAGTTTCGCTCCCTACATATATAGTCCTATGCCGTCCAGAGGGCACCCGATACACTAGGCACAATGCTCAAATAATTGATATGTCGGATACTTCAACTTACATGAGTACCACTGTGCCCTGCTCGGATGCCTTCCGAAATAGCTTTTTTCATAGATCTATGCTGAAATGGAATAGTCTACCAGTATGTATCCGGCAGTCAGAGCGGATTTCTACTTTTAAGGCCAAACTGATCAAGTACCTCTGGGCTGCCGATACAGTCTGGCCAGATTAGCTCATCAGTCTTATGAGTCTCAGAAATTTGTTTTTGTTGGTTACAATTCTGTCCGTCCAATTTCCTATCTGCTTGTCCTTTTCTTTATTCTTTATCAGTTGTGACGGAATTGTAATGAACAAAATCCTTATAATTATTTATGATATGTTTGATTTCTTGTTAATGTTTGTCATTCAAATTTGGTAGACGGCCCCAACGTTAATGTGGCTCTTGCTATGTGTTGGTTCAGCCGAATTAATTATTATATAATCAAGTTTATTTTTCTCGTTAGTTGTCATCCGGCCAAACATTAAGCAACTTATATTGCAGTACCATTTATCATTTAGTATATCAACATATGTCATTGTAATTTTGCATGGCTGAAATGTAACGCTTGATTTATATATATAATGATTAATTGAATTTTCAAATAAAAAAAAAAAACTTGGTCAAGCCATGAATGACAGATTAAAAAACTAAAATTTCAAATATTATTTCACTTGGATATGAAGAAAAAGCCATCTTTCTATAGATTTCAGGGCCACATGCCAAATGCCAAAAGTTTGGTTAGCAAAAAATTTAGCAGACGGAAAAGATTTATGCAATTAATTTGGTCTGCAAAAAATTTGGGCGAGAGGCCCGCTCAAATTTTTTGTCGCCCAAATTTTTGGGAATTAAGGTACTACTATTATTCATGATGGGCAGTATCTACATTCTACAATCAATACAAGTCTTGGTTGTAGGGCTGTACAGATACTACATACTGTCCATGAAAGATTGAATAATTGTATAATATCAAAAGTTGATTTGGTCATGAATTCTGCATGTGGTAAGTTAGATCACTTTTTTTTCTTAGATGATTAATTATCTCAATTCCCAATCTTAAGCTGGACACCTGTAAGGTTACATAACGCAATGCACCCAATGATGAAAACTTAAGGGGGCAGGAGTGTCTTTATGAAATTTCTCTCTAAATTGATTTTATAGTTGTTTCTGATAGAGGGGAGTGATATCTATCTGCTGCTTTTGGTTCCATGTAAAAATATTGTTCTTAGCTGAACAATATTATTATTGCTGGTCAAAGGTCAGCGCTTATGTGTAATTGTATTGCACGAGCGATTTTCAATCGCACGTCCTGAAAATTGAGTCTAAAAATCTATATCTTCTCCTACATTTTTGAGCGATCACCTTGAAATTTTCAGGATATGTTCTTAGGACCATTTAGAAGATTCTGTTCTATATCAGAATTTTAAGATAGGCCTTAGAAAGTTTTTCATTCGATTTTGAAAGTCTTGGACCGAAAAAATCTTCAAAAAACGAAGTCCAAGTCAAAATCGAATTTTCTAAGGCCTATCTTAAAATTCTGATAGAACAGAATCTTTTGAATGGTCCTTAGAACATATCCCAAAATTTTCAAGGTGATTGCTTAAAGAATTCAGGAGAAGATAGATTTTTAGACTCGATTTTCAGGGCGAGCGATTGAAAATCGCTCGCGCAATACAATTACACACAACCGCTGACCTTTGACAATAATTTCGGCTAGGAACAATATTTTTCCATGGGACCAAAAACAGCTGATAGATATTACTCCACTCTATCAGAAACAACTATAAAGTTAACTTTGAGAGAATTTTCATGAAGACCCCCCCCCCTGCCCCCTTAAAGCACTGTTAGTTGAGCTTGACCACACGCTGTATGCCAGATCATTGATCATGTTTTTAGCTTTTTAGATACAAGCTTGTCATTATGCCTGGCTATCAATAAAAATAAAGTGCACATATAAATAGTCCAAATATTTTTTTCCACAAATAATGGTGCATAAAAAGTGTCCACTTTATGCAATGATTTTATTTGGATTCGATCTAAGTACTACTGCAAGTTGCAACTGATCTGATATTATTTTCATTGTAAGGCTGTACAAATTCCAAGAATGCACCGTCCACATATTTATGTGCATTGCTAAGCATCTGGCTAAATTAATACTGGCTAATTTGTAGTTGATAATTAACATGACCTTTATTCAGATGAGTGTAATGATGAATTCAATAATTTCAAAAGCGACGGAGGGATGGATTCCTCATCAACTCAGGTTGGTTCACAATACAAATTATCATTCTGTATAATATTTTCTCCCCCTCTTTATCTATATCTCTCCCTGTTTACTTGGTTTTATTATAATATTATTATTCATTGTAATGGCAACAAAATTTCAATTTTGTTTCCCTTAAATTTTGTTTTCCTTATTGTTGGTCTCCAGCTGTACGAGGTATTGTATTTCAAAGAACTAGGCCTATTGATCTTTAATATTATCTATAGTCTTTCTTATATTTATATAATTCCGTGTTCTTGATAGAAGGCCACATGCACTGCTTTCAAACTTCAAAACAACGACCAAGCACTGTGTTGTTTTTGTTCTAATCAGTAATAGTTATCTTTTGATAGATTTATTCTGAGACAAGCCACACTTATAATACAGGGTGGGCCAAAAGTCAGTGTGCAAACGTTGGCCTTAATAGCTCAGTCACTGAGTGCCCAATTGAAATACTTCCTTCTGGTATGACTTGGTACCACCACTGGTTCGAGGAATTTGTCAACTCGAAAAATATTCGCGTTCATTTTTTTCAAATGGAGGTTCATTTTCACATTTATTTGATAGTTTGGATAGTCGGACCAAGCTAAATGTTATTGAATTGTGTTTGGCCATTCGAATTACGTTTGTCCTGAAAGAATTAGAACTGTAGCTTCTCAAATGACCGAGATATGAAGCATAACGAGTTTATTCATTACGTGTGATCAGGTGATTGGTTTACGTAATCACCTGATAAGGTGACCCCGTTAACTACCCCGTTAAACATTATGGGAATTGTTAAGGGTGCCCAATTAAGGTGTCGTGTCACGGTGTCACATAATCACCCAGTCAATTTTGTTAACGAGATACACAAAATGCTTGATAACTTCGTCATTTCTAATCCGTTTTGCCTCATGTTTTCAGATCATATGCAACATTTGATAATCTACCGTCTCTGAAAACATTAGGCGTTCAGCATGTTCAGAGAAAACAATATAGGTGTTTTAATATTGAATGGGCGTGGTCTAAAATATTCGAATTTTCAAATTTTGACGACGGAATCCTCGAACCAGTAAGTACAGTATGCCATCTGCAAAGCAACAGCTCTCAAATATAAAACACGGTGGAGGTATAAGACCCAACGTTTGCACACTGACTTTTGGCCCACCCTGTACTTATTGCATCTTAACTATGAAATACAGTAGGTTAATAAAGAAGCTTTCACATTCTCATTTAATGAACTTTTTCAAATGCGCTTATGCTTCGTTGCGTTCAGGATACACTTGTCACTAGCTGTAATGGCTATATTGTTGTGCTAATGATACTCTCACCGCAGTATAGAAATAGAGAGAAAGAGATTGCGCTGACTGAAGAAGTGGTGACTGGACGATTCAGAAATACAAATCTCCCCCAAATCTGTACAACACCTTAACAATTTTAGTTTGATAGCCCTTATACAACTCCCTCCGACACACACCATTTGGTAAGTACTGTAATACATTTTATATTTTATGTTGAGTCTATAGAATATTCTGGAACTTTCTAGAATAATCAAATAGTAAATATGCTCTAAGACGTTATGAGACCTTGTGAGACCTTGTAAGACGTTATGAGACCTTGTAAGACGTTGTAAGACGATACAAGACTTAATTTAAATTTATTAGACTTTAATTATGTAAACTAGTGTTAATAAATTAATATCCACCAAAAGAACGCCCCATGTAACAAAGGCACAACACCCTATAAGTATACGTGCTGCTTTTAGGCCTGACGGACAACTAAGAACCCTAGTCAACCTGACAACCTTGCTAGAGTAATCAGAGTATTTGAAACAGATATGGAACAACTGGTTATTTGAAGTTTCCCTTTTTCGTCCTTTTCTTAAGGATATTTTTCCAACACCCAGTCGATCGATATGGTTATCAGCGATTACCTACTGCTCCCGAATAGCACGGAAGTATTCTTGCACGGTCGGCTTGGGTCGACTCGTGCGTTCCGATCTGTCTTCTTCTGAGGTCTTCGCTTCCATGTGCTGTGCAGATCCGGACGCCGTGGCTCTACTGCGTTGTACCACCTGCACCCGAGCGAGGGATTCCATGTTTTGTGGAGCAGCGTTGTCGGCAGGGTGTTGTGGGGTGTGGAGCCAAGGGATAAAGATTAAGGAGTTATCTGACAGGGTGAGGTAGGCATGACAGGAACACTCGGTAGGAGGGTTGTTCTTCCGGCATCGCAAAGCAGAGTAGAGGGCTGTATCTTTAGCCTTTAGGCTCCTTTCTGGAGTAAATGTACCCGTCCGTGTCAACCAGCTCTCTAGAGTCTAGTTTGTCCTTTGATGAATTTGAAGAAAGTAGGCATGTTGCATTGAAAACGATACTCTTAACGTTCACGTTTCAGTATATTTACCAGAAGTGCGGTTGTATATTGACAGCTGATCTCGTACTTGTGATTGTATCCCTCGCCCTCGTACCACTCCCATTGTATGAACGGCTCATGTCCTTGGATACGAAAGCCAGCCCCTTTCCGACTCGGCTAACGTCCGTTTTGTGGAAATTATTTTAGTTAGTTAATAGAAATACCACTAAAATACTTACTGCAAGAGTATGGCATGGACATCTATCAAAATTGTCTACACGTTTAGCGACAGTGAAAAGATATCAACCACGAATATTGTTTTCTGTTTTGCGACTGTGATGCTGATTTCAAACTATGTCTACTCCTAGATGACAAAAAGATTAAATAAGCTAAAAGAAGCTTGTATTAATCCTCTGGATGTTTTTTCTCTTCTATTTCACAAGTCTTGGCCTAGCTTTACCGGTGAGTCATAGTTGTCCTGATGTGGTCTTCTCTAGACATTACCACAAACTCTGCTGTTGAATTTGAAGATCTTCATTCTTCTTCTGGTTTTGAATGGTTTGGACTTTGGAGTAAGATTGGGTGTAACTGTCACCAGTTGTCACTGTAAATCAGATCGAATTGAGACGCCGTTCGATCTAATTTCTCGTTCGATCTAATTTCTCGTTCGATCTAATTTCTCGTTCGATCTAATTTCTCGTTCGATCTGATTTACATCTTGGTGACAGGTAGACTTTGTAATAAAATCTTGTCGGAGGGCAATTTTTGTTCGACGGTAGTGTCTACCAAAGATGGAGCACCGAGCACGAGTGTAAGTCTGCTTGAATTGTGGAATGTTCTTCAAATGCTGTTTGAGAGTCTTGGTTGAGTTTAAGCAAATAACTCTTTCCAACGTAGATTGATTGCCATTACAGAAACATTGTCCTGTACCGTAGTGAGTAGAGCATCTTTTCCTTTCTTGGACTAAAATTAAGTACTGTGAGTGTGAGTAGAAATTAGGAATAAAGCTGCTGAAAAACATAGAGCAGTCAAAGTATCATTTGGAAGCTCTAGCACCTTTCATCAGATACTGATTAAAGCTAAAAAACGCCGACTGTCTCATTGAGAAACTCCGTTTATTTTACTGGATCGGTCAGTGTAGCGGAGGAGCGTGCAGTACATAAACAGTTGGTTTTAGATTTGAAGAGGAAGGTCAAGGGGATAAATGATATCTTTACTTTAAAAGTGTAACATTCCTTGTCTGAGAACAGATGTAAGTTGATTGAAATCACTATTGCCAATTATTTGTCCATGCTAACGAACAAATATTATTGTGATTGAGTTCAAGTTATATGCTTATTATATTATTACATATCACACAATTTTGACACACTACTTACTGAGGTTATGTTTTAAAGTCGTTTAATATTATCAATCTTCGACAGGGAGTTAATTCTGCCACAAAAGAAAAACATGAACCGATGAGCTGGTTCACTACCCCTCAGCCCTCTTCGACTGTCGAAGAAATCTTTCATCTCGCTGCACGCAACAATCAACATAGAAGAACTTGTTTTAATTCTATGCGCTAACATTTTGCAGAATAGGTCTAAAATACTGTAGGAGAGACGGAACTATTCCAGTAACTTTCTTGATCAGCTTTGAATAGTATTTCAACAACATTGGCGAAGTCCAGTTTGCTTGGTTAAATTTCAAAATTATACTGGCTCTACTTGATGGAAGGCGCGAATGTAATGTTCATGAATTGTAAGAAAAGCAAGCAATGTCAGTTAAGAGTTAACTTTTTATATCATGCATGTACTGTAAGCAATTCATTTCATGCATAATAATGACCCAACCGCAGTCTTTTTTATTGCACTGGCCAGCAACAGAAGAGGAAACGCTACAATGGATCAAATCTTGGTTTGCGTATCTGAAATGACTCCAGTTGCGTGCGTTTCTATTATGAACACAAGACTACGGTGTTTATCCGTCTATATCTCCTAATCTGCTCGTGGGACACTCCTCAAATTTTGTATACTATTGGTTCAAAAGATTTCTGACAAATCTGTACAATTTCCAATGCTGTCCACCGAGCACTTTTCTCGCAATAGTCTGTTGAAAATCGCAAAATTGAGGCCAATGACGTGTCTGTAGTAATGTGAATGATGGGAGTATTGTATTTGTGTTAGTGTTTTAATCTAACTACTGAATTTATTTGTTTATCTCAATAAGATATTATATTAATCTTGTACTGATAAATTATATGGATAAAGCAAAACATTGAACCGAATGTGGGTTCGAGTCTGACCAGGGGTTGAAATTTTCGAAATCGAAGATTTCAACCCCTGGCCAGACTCGAACCCACATTCGGTTCCTTCTTGCTTGCATTTTATTGAGAATCAGTCCTCTGCTCTCATGATCAAGCCATTGTGGTAACTGATCATTTTGATACTATGTGTTATTATATTGTGTTAGAATACACTGATTCTTTCAAATTCAAATGATATTTTCAATGCTTTAACTGTTAGAATTGGCACGCGAGTGACTCCAGTTGCGTGCCTTTTCTATTATGGACACAAGACTACGGTGTTTATCCGTCTATATCTCCTAATCTGCTCGTGGTCCACTCCTCAAATTTTCTCTACTATTGGTTCAAAAGATTTCTGACAAATCTGTACAATTTCCAATGCTTTCCAACGAGCACTTTTCTCGCTATAGTCTGTTGAAAATCGCAAAATTGAGCGATATCAAAATCCGTTAATTATCAAAATCTACCGGTAAAATTTATACTGACTTGTTCTATAAACTATTGTCTACGCAATGTCAACATTTTTGAAGACAATTCGTAAGACCAAATACAATTTAAAGTGGTTACTAAAAGGACGGTACAAACTTTTTTCCCGTAAAATCGGGAATTCGCGCGCTGAAACTGGCTACGCAATTGCGCTTCTATGTTCTAGTGGTCCCATCGTGTTATGATTAAATATGCAAAACACCTTTTTTTCGAAGCTCTTTTTTAAATAGTTAAGCCTATTGACACCCTAAACATTTTTTAAATTAAAATGATCGGTTAAAATTTTGATAGGATCGGATCAAAAATATATATTAAAGGGGGACCTCACCCTAACGGATGATATAGATACTCGTCTAAATTTCTTCGAAGTAGCGCGCGCCACTTTTTCTCGCAAAGAGTTTCGAATTAGCGTGTTCCAGGTTAGTTCATTGGCAATGAACAAGGTTTGAGTATCATAAGGAATAAAATTGTAAATTTTAATAAATAACTTTATTGTAGCGCAATGCGTTACTGGGCCGCGCCGCGCATTCAATTATGCTTCTCGCAAGATTGGCGAAATACGCTACTGGGCCTTGCGGAGCTGCGAAGAATTGACATTGTCAAATAAATAACTTTAATAAATTATACCAAAACGACTTGGTTCAAGTTAATAAATTGTTTGTCTGCTAAATAGGAATGAAACCAAACATAAAATTATGTTTACCCTTATTCTCCAAATAATTATTCTCCAAATAATCATTTAGAGTATTGTGTCCAATTGTGGAATCCAGTTGCGGCTCATAAAAGTTTGGGGACTGTTTTGGAGCTGGAGAGCGTCCAAAGGCGGTTTACCCGTTTGATTGATGAGGTGGGTACTCTTTTGTAGGTTTATAACCTACCAGGACGCGCGCCGAGTTGGACTCGTCGACGGTCCAATATATGGAACAGATATTTTACGAGTATCACCCGTTAAGGACCTTATTGAAGCTTTTACGGTTATTATAAATGGCTTGCCTAATTATGGTTCAGACTTGTTTGTTGTTCAGACCAAGCAGATCAGGTCTTAATCTGGTTTCATCCAATAGTATAGATGTAGTAAGAGTGTGACAAAGGTCAAGAATCTTCAGTGTTCTTTTCTTCCAGAGTGGGTTGTTCCTTATTGGAACAAACTCCCTTCGGAAGTGAAGAACTGCTTGACAGTTTTGAGTTTTAAAATTACATTGGAAAGTTTAAAAAAGAATATGATTTCTAAATGTACCTTACTCGGGATTATTACGACGGGTTTATTGACGACCGGTTAAAATATGGTTCGGGAAAAATATGGCGAAATTGCTCAAAACCCACCACATTTTCCCGGTCGCCATTTTACCGGTGTCCAACCTTTCAATATTAGATTCAAAAATTTTGTCTCAGATGTAAATTTCCTTATTAGAGATAAGCAAGTTTAGAAATTTTCGCATTGCTAAAACTTGTGAAACAAGTCGAATTATCAATAATTGTTGAAAGTAGACAGAAATAATGACTCGTGGTTAATCAAACTAGATGGAAAATAATTTTTAACATTTGAAGCGTAACAACCAGATCGATATAAAGATAAAGGGAGAGCTGTTTAGTCTTCCAATAAGTTGTAATCATCTTCGTTATCTTCATCTGGATCATCCCTTTCATCAGTTTTATTTAATTCAAGTTTTAATTTAACTGTTACTTTTACTTTGAGTCCTATTTCATTTTGTAGAGATAGTCAATACCTAAGAAATTAAAAATTGGCCTATTTAAATCAAATTTGACAATAAGGATATATGACAAGAATTGGGCAAAAAGGTGAATTTTTTGCAATTTTAGCCAAATGAAGTCGAAAAACCTACAAGTGTCCCAATAGTCTTCTTTAGTGAATATAAGACAACGAATAAAATATGAGCACCCATACCCCTTGGGAACCCTAAAAGCTGAGTAGGCGGGTTTATTAACGACCGGTGAAAATGTGGTTCGGGAAAAATATGGCGAAATTACCCTAAACCCACCACTTTATCCCGGTCATAATAATCCCGAGTAAGGTATTGCAAATGACTTGCATTTTTGGAATGTTTCGAAAGAAGTTTTAACAAGAATTGAAGGTACCAGTTATATCATTAATAAGGAAAAACACAATGATTATCTGTGGTTTCATCCTTATGTAGCAAAGAAACGTTTTATAAATCTTTACTCCACTGGGAAGTATGAATAAATTAAATTTTTTAATGTTGTTGTTATTCATGATTGATATTTGATAAATTATTACTTTTAAATTTGATGGAGAAATAGTTACTATATATTTTTCAATGTAGTGCAATGATATTTTGTAGACATTAGTGATGATGTTATGTCATAATTTTTACTTACTTACTTACTTACTTACTTACCTTCAATTCTGCTAGACTTATTATTTGTTTCCTGATCTGTATCTCTGAGATTCATTCTGTTTAAAGTTTTTGAACAACTTGTTAGACAACATATTATGAACAACTTGACAATTGGAGAATAATATATCTGAGCACCAGCTTGAACTTGTCATTTGTGAAAAGTAAATCCTATTTGTCGAATTTAATTGAGACTTTTGACGATATTTCCAGTGTACCAGTTGGTTTGTTCCATTTAGACTTCTCAGAGGCATTTAACATCGTTCCTCATTAGAGAATATTGTTCAAACTTGAGAACTTTGGTATTACAGGAAATGTTTATTGTTTTGTATGTGATCAAAAATTTTTTATCTGACAGAATTATTATGCTATTAATGTGCAAGTAGAAGGAAACCTTTATGGTATCCGAAAAGTGTTATGAGGAGTACCACAATTACAAGGATCTGTTCGAGGTCCCCTCCTTTTTCGTGTTATTTATTGCCGATCTTCCTGACTTGGTTCAAAATAAAGCTAAATTATTTGCTGATGACTTTAAATCAATTGGCAATGCTGGTTGACTCAGTTATTCGAGGGTATTGGCACACTGCCAAAAAAAATCAAGCGTTACATTTCAGCCATGCAAAATTAAAATGACATATTTTGATATACTAAATGATAAATGGTACTGCAATATAAGTTGCTTTATGTTTAGCCGGATGACAACTAACTAAAAGAGAAAAATAAACTTGATTACATAATAATTAATTCGGCTGAACCAACTCGTCATAGCAAAAGCCACATTAACGTTGGGGCCGTCTGCAGTGTAAATAATTATAAGATAAATCTAGAATATTTTAAAAAGATAGAAACTGTATTAAAAAAGCATTAAAAAAGATAGAAACTGTATTAAAAAAGGAATTCATTGTTATCATCATCACTGGAAAGTGTCATCCCCCAGAAGACGAGCTTTGAGGTCTCCTAGATTTGTTTATGTAAATTTTGATATTTTACTGTACTATTTTATGTTGTATATAATTTTACGGACGAAATGATCCCAGGGGGGACTCCCAACCCACCGCTTCGGCGGGTAGTTGACGCACCATTCACAAGCAAGAGCCACTTTGGTATACTTGCTGTGAGGTGTCTTAGCGTCTGATGAGGTGATAAGTTGAAATGAAGGAGATAATTATTTGGAGAATAAGAATAAGTATAATGGTTATATTTGGTTTCATCCCTATTCAGCAAAGAAGAAGATTATCAACTTGAACTATGTCCTTTTTTAAATAATTTTATTAAAGTTATTTATTAAAATTTACAATTAAAATTATCAAGATATTATTATGAATTTTTGTGATGATCTTATGTATCATTATATTTGGAGTTGATTTGATTTATCACCTCAACAGACAGGTGAAGGTGAATGACTTAACTCCCTCGGTAAACTTCAATGAGTTCTTGGACTGCTTCAATGAAACACTTGATAAACACTGTAAGCTTGATGTACCAAAAGTTACCAAAAGGACTCCCAAACTCAACCCGTGGATTACCGATGGAATCATTGTCTCAGTTGAAAGAAAACATGAACTCTGTAGAGACTGGTCAAGCACTGTAACAAATAGAAACCCTGAGGGTAATGTACTGCTCTATAAAGTCTTCAGTGACTACCGAAGAATGCTTAAAAGTATTATCAAGGTCGCCAAACGATCCCAGTGGAATAAATTTTAAATATGACTAGGAATCCATTTTGGGAAGAAAAAAAGGCTATATATTTTTCGGCCGCTTTGCGGCCGACTTGTCACTGGTCAGCTCTTCTCCCAGGTCAAGATTAGTTTGAAATGCTTAGCGTATCTATTAGAATAATTACCGGATGAATATGCAATTGCAAATTTTGAAATTAAATAAAAAATTTCTGAGAATTCTTTAATTTATTTGAAACGCAAGGAAATATTTTTTAAAAGAAGTATACAGCCTAGCCCACTGACATATCCACATTATACCTCATACTAACTCGGAAGATCGAGTTATAAGATCTGACTCTCATCAGCTTGATGAATGATTCGCTACTTCGAAAGTGGCTTCGACCTTGTGTCGATATTTATGGCCTGACTTTGGATCTGAAGCTTGCTTCTGCCAGGTTAGATACAATATTGGACAATAAACAATGATAAACTTCGGACTTAGGGATAGGGATGTATAATGGAGGGGGTTGTCTGCACTGTACTTTAGATGATCTAGGATGTGAAACTTGCTTAAGCCTAGAACACACGAGTTCCCCTGATATAGTAGCAATGGCTAGATTCACTTCCTTCCCACTTGCACTGTTGTTGACTTGTAGCTACAATATTAAATTGATTCGTGGAAATCGGTCTCGGATGTGAAGCTTCCTTAAGCGCCAAACCCTGAGAATACTGTATTACTCGAACTTCGAGAATTTTCTAAATGAATCTAGACTAAAGGAGCCAACTTGAATCCATAAAATTTTGAATGCTACATTTTAAAATACCGCTCTATATTTACACCGTTCACCAGTTAATATGGCTGGGAGGATTGGGAGGATTCATATTAGATTGTCGATTGTTTAAGATTAACTTGATATTTTAGCGTATCAGAGCTGAAATTTTTCATGACTATTTCAAATGACTATTTTACATGACTATTTTTTCATATTCCGGGATGTTGAGGAAGGAGGAATGGATAGCTCGCGTTTTCTGCGCGTTTTTTGGTGTCTGAATGCGCAAAAAATAGTCAAGCAATCTTATAGGTAAGAAATAGTCATGGAATCTAGGAATGCGCTCGATTCGAACTTCGAGTCGATAAAATGATGTAACATCGCGTTATCCCTGAGAGCGACCAATTTTGATTTAATTTTAAATTAATGCGAATATTTTTTCCACAAGAATCTTTTTTTACCGGTTATCAACAAATTTTGACTAGGTGTTAAATTCCTGGACGCCTGACTATTTGCCACTGGGCAAACGATCGTACTACTGCAATGAAATCCATAAAAATATAGAAAACAGCAAAAAAACGTGGCAGATAATCAATGAGCTCAGGGGCAAGAAAAAGAAGCAAACTAAGCCTCCCTTTATCATAAACAACGAACGAATCATGAATCGTAGAGTCATAGCCAATGGATTCAACTCCTACTTTGTTTCTATTGCCCCTAAGCTCAATGAAACACTTAGTAGCAGTGAGGCCTCTGGTTTACCAATTCTCCCTATAAAAACATTCTATGATTTCCTTGGAAAGACTAATGAAAAATCGATTATGTTAGAAGACTGTACACCTTATGAGATAACGGAAATAATAAAAGGATTTGAAAATGGAAAAGCAAGTGATATTCCTGTTAGTGTAATCAAAAGATCATCTCACGTAATTACACCGATCCTTAGTCGATACATCAACATCTTAATGTCTAATGGCACGTTCCCCGACGTTCTAAAGACTGGTAGAATAACTCCTGTATTTAAGAATGGAAACCCTGAAGAGATAGAAAACTACCGCCCAATCTCTACTCTCTCTATATTTGGTAAAATCTTTGAAAAGATCATTTACTCAAGAATATATTCGTTTGCTAGCTCACAGGGTATAATATCTAAAACACAATTTGGCTTCAGGCAGTCACACTCTACTTCACATGCAGTTAATCACTCAGTAAACCTTATAACTGAATCTCTAAAACTTAAGCATCATGTCTTAGGCATATTCATAGACCTTAGCAAAGCTTTTGATACAATAGATCATGGTACATTACTTGTCAAATTACAGGGCTATGGGATACGTGGGGTGGCAAATGATCTTACAAAAAGTTACTTAACAAATAGATCACAATATACTGAAGTTGTTGGTGAGAAATCTGACGCTCTGAAAATACAGTTTGGAGTCCCTCAGGGTTCGATTCTTGGACCTCTCTTATTTCTCCTATATATTAATGATATCGCCAACAGCTCCAGTTTGGGATCATTTGTCACCTTCGCTGATGACACCAATATATTTGTGACTGGGAAATCTAAAAAGGAGGCATATATGCGTGGTAATTCTCTTTTAGCTAGTTTATATTCTTACATGCGAGCAAACAAACTCCATGTCAACATGTCTAAATGCTGTTTCATTCACTTCAAACCAGCATCGTCCTCCCAGACTGACAATAATTCTGAATATACTCTAACCATTGATAACTTTCCAATAAAACAAGTTGCATCTGCTAAGTTTCTGGGAGTCGTCATCGATGAAAAGCTAACCTGGGAAGAACATTTAAAATCACTTAGGCGTTCTCTCAGCCATGCAACATCAACTCTCTGCCGCCTACGCTGCTCCCTCCCAGATTTCTTACACCGCCAGTTGTATTACACTCTATTTGAATCACACCTCTCCTATTGTATCACGGTTTGGGGTGGGGCAGCCAAAACTCGTATAAGTTCTGTATTCAAAGCACAAAAATATTGTCTCAGGGTACTGTTTGGCGACAGGGAGGCATACCTAGATAAATTTAAGACCTGTGCTCGTGCTCGACCGTTTGGCAACCAAAATCTGAACAAAAAATTTTTCTTGAAAGAGCACACGAAACCTTTGTTCAAGGAACACGGAATACTTGCCGTCCAAAACCTGTACACTTACCATTGTTTCCTTGAGCTCTATAAAATCATGAAATTCCGTGCTCCGATTTCCCTCCATGAAAATTTCACCTGCTCAAGTAGGAAACCCACCCTTATACTGAGCCAAGCAGACCCCCCTGACAACTTCAATAGCAGAACGGCTCGTATTTGGAACGTAATTGTGCCTAAGCTTGGTATACGTGATCTGACTACTGTCTAAGTGTGGCCTGCCTGAAGTCTAGGATGAAGCAATCACTGCTCGTCAACCAGCATAACCATGCTGATCTTGATTGGACAAACAAGATTTTGAATGCTCTAATCTAAATTTTGACATTAAGTCTACCCTAGGGTCCACACATCCAAAATGATTATCTTGAAATTGAAAATTAGCTGGGTGTGCATTTTCCTTTGTCTTACTAACGTGTGTGAGCACAGTGTAGTGAGAAAGTGTTTTTAACAGATTTATTATTAGACTTAGGATTATGATTTTTAATATATTACATTGATATAAGATTTATTTTTGATAGGTACTTAATAAAGTTGATGAATTTCCCTCCCTATTAAAATTTTAAACCCATTTAGTGAAAATTGATAAACAAAGATCTAGATATTGATACATATTATAACCAACATTGCTTATATTCTGCCTTGTAAACAAAGAGCTAATCTTCTTAATGCCTTCTTCCTGTCCTAAAACTAAAACTTCATCCTATTAAAGTAAAGGCCAGTTGTTACCACAAGCTATTATACCGTCCCTCTCAAAAACATGCCTCAGCCTCCATCAAAAACAATTTTAGTTTTCAGTCGCTCTAGTTTCCAAAAATATACCGAGCTAGTGTTCTGGTGTGCACAAAAGCCCCTAAGCCCGTGCATTCCTTGCCCCGCTAGCTGCCAGTCCTTGACAAACTTCCAATAGCAAAGATCAACTAGTCATTTACAAATTCAGCACTATACAATTTTAATTGTTTTAAATATTTGACTTTGTAAAATGAGCTAAAACATTGATTTATTAGTTTCATTGATTTATTAGTTTCATTGACACATTCCAGCGATGATGATCATAATAAACTCTTTTTTATTACTATAATACTCAGAACACTCATAATGAAATATTAAAACAAGTCATTCATTAAGCACGGGCAACATCTAAGTTATTACTTTCTGCTGACATTTTATAGCTGTTGTTGTTTTTTATATTATCACATCTTTAATTTTACTCTGGGTTGGGTCAGAAGTCTATTCTTTGATTTTATTAACTTCAAAGGATTTTAACAATTTTAGCATTACATTGTCAAGTATTAGTTGCATAAGTGTCGTTATTAGTTAATGATAATTGATATTTCTTAATTGATCAACTTTACATCTCACCATGTAATCAGGTCAACAAGCTCGAAACTGGCCTGAGCCCTTTGGACAATTTTTTTAAATCTGCATTTTATCATCAGAGACCATTACTGTCACTAAATTTACTTAGGATAATAGCTAAATTGCTATAAAATTGTGCCACTTCTCAGTGCTCACCCATCATAATAAATTAACATCCTTATCTGGTTTTAGTAATCTACCTTTATGGAGTAGCAGAAATCCAAGACCACTCTTCTATGGTAAGACTATAATTAAGAAACCTTAATAAATTTATCATGACATTTAGTAGTACTCTAATCGTATATTATATTGATGTTTACTTTAATTTTTATATTTATCCTGACATTTCCATACTAAGTGTTGCTTGAATGACTTCGTTGGGTATATTTAAATGTCGAAGCGAGTAATAAATGTTCGAATTTATTATCAATTCAATCATACCATTTTTAACATATACATTTTCAGATCTTGTCAGCTGTTATACTACTAGTGGGCATTGTATCTGTCGATGGAGCAGTAATTGGGGTTAGTTTGAGCCTAATTACTTGAACAATTATAAATAATAGTTAGAATTATTGAACGATTAAAACTTTTATTGGTTGTGATTAAAACTTTTATTTCTCGGTATATCCAACATATTATTGCATACCAATTATTACAGTAGAACTTCCATTTACCAGCCTTTCAACACTGGTAGAGGACAAATGGCTTGATAATTGGTTCCACATGGTAAATCAGTGTTTGTCCCTGTATTAGCTATTAGTCCCTGAAAATTCAAACATTTGTTTCTCTCAGAGTCGAGTTCAGGATCAGACTGGGATTGTTCAGACGTTTCTGAGCTACAGATCTGCTATCGGACAGGCATTATCGAGAAAAGGAGAAGAGGTATTTTAAAAGGAGCAGAGGTATTTTACCTACATGTGCTAATATCAACAATAGTGTATGATATTGGCACTTTGGCAGATTTCACAAATTGGTGGCAAACACATGATACACTTTTCAATGTGCTTTTAATGACGCAATTTATATTGCAATGTAATAACAATGATATCAACCATGTAATTTACTAATCACACAGTAACAACACAATACCACAGGGTTTGCTGGTCCTAGCCTCCAAATGGAACGGAACTGAGCCTAACGAGTACGCATGTGACCCAGTGACACCTGCTCACAAGAGAACCATCTCTGGGTACCCCTGGGTACTTCTCATCAGACGAGGCATCTGTGAATTTGCTGACAAGGTTAGACTTGCTAATTGGCATTGTAATTACATAATAATTAGGTTGTCTATAAGATGTTGTTAACGTTAATTTATTTATTACATATAATTATCATTACATAATCATGTCAATATTATATATTACACCGTCATCAATGTTTTCATTTAAAACATAAATTTTATGTACGAGATAATACACATTACACATAAAAGTTATCCTGCATAATGTATGCATTATCACCCACAATCTGCATATAATAATCTTATCACAATAATGTTTGCAAATTTCTTGTACTGGCTGCCAGTATTCACGCGTTGTGCTACAACTAGTCCAGTGAGTATGTTTGTGAGTAGCTGTGTAATGAATATATAATACTGTCATAGAAGACCGCTCTCTGATCTTATCTTATAATGCAATTGTTTGATATTTTGCTGTAGGAAACAGTACACTACTAATGCCATTGAGGACATGTGTATTATGTATGCAATGTAGGCACAATGTAGGTACCATGTAGGTACCATGGCCATGTAGGCACAATGACTCATTAAGTAGCAACTCTGCTGTGTGTAGTGGGTAATTACACATTAGCTTATTACTCCAGCAAGAAGTGGTTATCTCTCTGTAGGAGCGAATAGGAATCGCTTAATAAGAATTTATCTATAGTTTATAAACGTGCTTCACCTAATAAATCTATAAATAGATTAATAATAATTACTATCAGTTCTTGTGCAGGTAAAGTACCTTTAAAGGTAATTTATTTTTGCGGAACTCCGGCGCTGTAATTTCGGAGAAAAATGTGATATTGAACCCCAAGGCATAATCAAAATGGTACACGCACTCTAGTTCGACAGCCAGACACGTACGTTCGTCAGCCAGAAATCATCAAACTAGAGTACGTGAATCTTTCAAAATTGTCCCTTGTAACGTCATATATATAGATCTGTAGTCTGGCACACTTAGTCCATGAATTAATTTAATGAAAATAGGCCAATGTTTTGTGGTGCACCTGGTTGTTGTGGCTAACCACTGAAACCTGAAGCATGCTACAGAACGTTGCAGCTGGGGCGGCCATGCTTCAGGTGTTTCTTAATTTTTATATTTAGAGCTCATTCCAAATCATTAAATTTTTTCAAAAAGTTTACTCCTTTATTATAAGGATGTAGCTAAATAAATATAAATTTGGCTTATAGGGAAACTGATAACTTCAATATTAACTGCTCAAAAGGATCGTCATAACGGTTTAAGCGATTGAGTGGTAAAATTTGATAAAGCTAGGAAGACAATAAAACTAATTAGGAAGTGGAAGAACAGCACATGTGTCTCCCTCAGTACCTACTAAGTTTCAGTAGCAGTATTAATTCAGTTTCAAGCAATATTGTTGGAATGAGTTCTGTCGAAGCTTGCTCCAAGGAATAATATGAGATTAGTCCTCTTTTAGCCTGACAAGTGTCATGTCTCAAGTATTCGCAGAAATAAGGTTTCCCAGAAAATGTGGTTATGTGGATATGTTAGAGTAATTATTGTAACGGTATTATATTAGAACCAGACAGAAACAAAGTGTGAAGGGCCTGAACGGAACCCATCGGTTGCTCATATATTGGTATATTTGATCATGCCGGGAAGATTTATATATTTAGATGAACAAATCGCAACTTGCAACCGATTTTAAGTATTAAGAGGTTACATTTAAATTTTAACATCAACATTCAACAAGCTAAAAATCAACGTAATTTTAATTGCGTAGCTCCAAATACTCATATCGATCATTTCACAAGTATTAAGAGAATAGTGTGACAGCATGTCAAGTGTCAACCGGTTCTTTAAAGAGAAGCTGGACCTAGATGGCCCACGAAGGGATAGCATGAGGATACTCTGCCTGCCTTTGGGGTATGTCAATTGGCAACCCTGAAGGAGGTTGCTGCAGTTATCTATGTGGATATGATGGAGGTTGTCAAAGTTTTCGTTGACGGAGGGGTAATAATCCTGCAAATATTGCCCTCTTAGTTGTGTAATAGCTGGGCACTGTCCAAGAAAGTGCGAGACAGTCTCATCTTCATACATAGGGCAGGCACTAGTGCTGGCAGCCACTAGTGCTGGCAGCCACTAGTGCTGGCAGCCACTAGTGCTGGCAGCCACTTGTCAGTACTGCGCATCTCAACTCAGTTGAGTCGTTCTACTGTAAAAAGTAGATAAACTTAAATCTTTTTTATCTAGGAAACGTTGCGAATAATTATTATGAAATAATCAGTACAACCTTGAAACATTTTGAGCTGAATGTCTTAAGATGTCAGCAAAGTAGCCTGGTTGGATGAATTTTGATAACAGATTTGGCCAAACATTGTCTTCTTGACTTCCTGAATAAGATTTTCTAAGAACTCTCTGAGATGACGCAGTTTTATTCATACAGTCGGAAAAAATACATTCGCAGTAAGCAATCACTCAAATTGAAATACGGTTTCCCAGAAAATCCCCTCATTGTTATGTGAACACATGACACATGTGCTCATAGTTTAACCGATTATGCAATGAAGATCTATATATTTTAATGAACAAATCGCAACTTATATTTCATAATACTGCTTCTTAAATCATGAATACGATGTTGTAACATTGAAACGTCGACTATTTCCTATTCCTTAAAAAGAGCATTTTTACTTGTCGCAAAAACGGAATGACCAGACATTTTTAATCATAATCATAATATGCTTCCTTACAAAATGTTCTACTGCTTTTAAAAACCAGGAAATGTTTTTTTGGGTTGGCAGCCACTGAATGTTTTAAAATGTCTTAAAATTAGCCAAGTTGGAAGAATTTTTGATAACTGATTTGGCCAGACATTATATACCTAACTTCCTGATTAAATTTAATCATTTTCCTAAAATAACCTAAAACACGAAATATCACGTGCCACAATTCACTAAGGTTTATCGTAAAGTTGATGTGAAGTACTTATCTTTGTAGCCTTATCACAAGAATATCACGTACTATCTCCTAGAGTTGATGATATGAAATGATACGCTTATGATTTCAGGCACCTTATCTGCAATAGTTTCGAATTGGAGGGTTTTTAAAGAGAGGCTCAGCCTAGATGACCCAGGAGAGAATAGCATGAGGATGCTTTGCCTGCCTTTGGGGTATGTCAGCCCTGAGTGGGGTTGCTGTTGGTATTAAGGTGTATAATATTTTCCGGAAGCTATTTCCCCGAAACGTCGTGGACACTGGTAACCGACAATGTCCCGTGAGTGTTGCCAGAGTATTATGAGGACAGACTGCGGTCACCTCAGAGTCACGCGGAGTTTCAAAACAAATAACAACTTGCGCACTATATATTACACACTATATTGTATCAGCACGCGTATCACATTACATTTACTCATTGTTTCATCCAGAACAGGGAAAAATGATAACAAATAATACCTTGGCTTAGTTATCGTGCCGGGCTCGCCCTCCGCTTATCGCCCATAGCACTCAGCAGCAGAGGGAATAATTGTATTATAATGGGGGGTGATGTAAAGTGTTATGAGTGAGATGAGTGCCAGCCTTGTTCAAGGGTGTGCCAGCCTTGTTCAAGGGTGTGGAACAGGGTAGTAGGCAGTAGCATGTGAAGTCAAATGAAGCCGGGCTGTTACTTCCGTATGTGTGTTGTTAACCTTTCTTTACTTATCTAAGTGAATCAAACCTTTACCTGGTACTACTTGCTAGGTGGAACAAAGTTTCACAGTTTCAGTCATTTTAAATGATAAGGTAGATAGATTTGGTATCTAGATACTGGTTGCGGACTGGTGGAGTTAACCATATTTTTTAACACGTGAAAAGGTGAAAGTGATTAACGAATCAGCTTCCAATATGGACCAATTATTATTAAAACACAGAATCACTGCCACTTGTTCAAGAAAATTCATTCCACCTCGACGCCCCTCGCCACAAATATTCGGATCTATTCACTGACATGATACTAAACATGATTTTTCAGAATTGTTTGACCTGCATCCATTTCTTGGAAAAAGTTAGACATTACGAGAAATGGCCTCTATATAATATATATATATTATATAGTTTCTATTTACGAGCTTAAATCAATTAGGCGGCATGATTTTTAAATCCGGGCCAATCTGGGAGGTCTTTTATAGGTCTTTATACCCCCACGTATGACGTACACCCACTTGCCTACTTGTACGTGGGAAAGACGTCCTTCCTACACCCCTCTTGAGGCCCATAAACCCTGAACTTAACCAGACATAGCACGTCATTAAAACAATTTTAAAATTTAAAATCTGGTAATATTATCACTGAAGTGGTTTTTATCAGTCGTAGCACGATTTTCTTATCTCTACAGATAGTACGTTTTGTGCATTAAAGTATATATTGATAGGCCAAAAGAGGACTAATCTCATATTGCTGAGTGCATATTATTAACTGCATCAGTTATGTACAATTAGTACACGTTGAGCTTACTGCTGGGTGTACTAGACCATGACTACAAAGACATTCCTCTTGGTAACCATGACTACAAAGACATTCCTCTTGGTAACCATGACTACTAAGACATTCCTCTTGGTAACCTGACTCAGTAATATGAGATATATTATATTATTATATAAGATATTTGACATCTTGAGATCTCAATATGTGGGAGTCAGCTACAAGTTATTAATTCTCAGCTCAATAAAGCTAGCCAGATTGTACACTGTAGAGTAGAGTCTGTACTGCTGTGTACATTATGGTATAACCATATCTGATATTCACTCCGCCTCCCCAACTGTCATACTGTATTATATCTACAATCAATATTCTTATCTACTGGTATTGTGGATCCTAGCCCATCATATCATATCCTGTATTTATACATTACACCCCCATACATACTGATTACACCTAATCTAAATACATTATAAATATGTGTATATACAGTACACCCCTATACATTACACTTCAAATGTGTGTTAACTGTTATCTCTTGGAATGATTTTCCATCGTTATGCTAAGACAATATCAGATGTATCTGCATTTAAAGCGCCTGT